ACTGGGGTTAGGAGAGCCCTGTGCTCTCGTGCTGGGCGGGCATCTGGGCCATTATATAAAAGGTGCTGTAGCCACAGCTGTGGGTAGTTGTGGTCTCTGAGTTACCCTGGATGAAGAGGTGCTGGGTATCGGGTGTGCTCTGATGAGGTGGCCCCATGTAATCCCTGCAGCCCTGCCATGAGCAAGGAATTGTGTATGCCAGAGGAGGGAGCTGAGGCTTAAAGTGGTTTGAGTTACTTGTCTGCAGACTCCCAGACAGGAGTGGAGCCAGGATCGGGGTCCACACTCATCTGAACCAAGAGCTCTTGCGTCCTCTATGCAGTGCTGTCTACCCTCAGCCATTGTAGTCTCCTCCTGGCAGGAGGACTAAGCAGGAGCACCGGGCTCCACTGGGGCAGACCCTGATGAGGTGCACACGGGAAGGATGGAAGAGTGAACAGATGCCCCTCCAGGCGGTTCGGGAGCACCAGCAGCAGAGTTCAGACGTCCCAGGAGCCGCAAACCCAGGCATCTGCTGCAATTCCCATTCTCCGCCATGGGACCCCGTGCCCGGCCCACTGTTTGCACCATCTGGCCTTCTGGTTGTGGATCATGCCACCATTTGCAGCTGAGCGTGAGCCGAGCAGGCCTCCAGCAGATACCACTTAACAAGTTCATGGCTCAGTGGTTCCTGAGATGGATTACTTGAAGCCTCGTGCTCTAGTGCCAGAGTTTCCTCAAAGTCAGATGCAGGTGGCTTCTCGTGTTGCCATCAGCTTGTTACAGGACCTGATCTGCAGTTCATCCTTCTCCCATCTGGTGCCCACCAGCTGGGCTGCTGGCCCAATCCCCCAGTCTCTCTCCCTCTTTCTCCTTCCTTCCCTCTTCTTTCTCTCTCCCTCCCTTTTCCTTTCCCTCTCTCTTATTCACTCCCTCCTTTTCTTTTCTCCTCTTCCACACTTCAAACCCTATATTCTCATCAATCAAAACCCCCTACCTGTTTGTCCCCCTTTTTAAGCCCAACCTCAAGTTTGCTCTGCCCCCTGACGTAAACTGCATCATCCAAGGGTGAGATTCCGTCTGAAGAGGGTGGTGGAATTCCACTAGTTGATTTGGGTTCACTTACGTTTTCTCTGAGTCTTCCCAGAAGACCGAGAATGGCCGGTATGATGCCAAGCTCTGGTGGGGGCAGGGAGGGAAAAGGCCATCTGGGTGGTGATGTCCCCTCCCTGAGTCACCCACACTCTTCTCCCTGAGATCCTGGGCCTCTTGGGCCCCTGGATGTGCTGCAGCTTCTTCACTCTAGGTTATGGATGAACTGAGGCAGCCGGGCCTTCCTTATCGAGGCCCCTTAGGAAGTCATTTCTACTCCGAGGCTGGTGCCGCCCTAGAAAGCGCTGTGAGTTTCCCCCAGCTCAGCCCCACTGACACACCTGCCAGGAGGCAGGTGCCTGGCGTGTCTGGAGGCCACACCACACGGTAGACCACTCCAGCCTGCCTCCCCTCCCACAGCCCTGACAGCCTTTTTCCGGTCAGAGGTAGAGATGGAGGAAGGTCTTACTCTCGTGCGTCTTTTTTTATTTTTTACAAAATAATCATTTTCTGATAGAAGACCTTTCTGTTCTGTGCCCAGGCTGCTAAAATCCACAAACCAGCAAGAGACCTGTTTTATCTCCTTTCTGTTAACACAGGGAGAGAGAGGAAGGCAGGATGCTCACTGGTAAGTGGAGGCAGGGATGAAACGTAAAAAGCATTAACAATAACAAAAAGCAGTTAATAGTTTTTAAATATGATCCTGCTACCAATTAGACACAGGGCTCAGAGATGCAATGCATCCGCCCCAAAGACACAAAGCAAACGTGTGCAGAAGAACTTGAGTCAGGAGTAGCAGGCAGTGGGAGACATTTAGGTCGGTGGGTCCAGCTGTGATTTAGATGCACCTGGTCACACACCGGGACCTCTGACATTAACAAAAGCCCTTGTGACGGACTCATCCTGTAGTCTTTAGAAACTACTTCCCAGACCAAGAAGCTAAGCCCCAGGGAAGACACCGTCACACTTAGTTACGGTTTATAATCTGCCTACTTCCTAAAACATGGAGGCCACACAGCCCTAGTTTGTGGCATCCAGATGCAATGCTTGGTGCAGGGTTCTTTCTTCTGGAAATCGCCCCACAGTCTGCCCTCCACCTGTCCACCCTCAAGGGAAACCTTCTGTCCATATTTTATCATTTGGAGCCAATTCATTCATTCATGCTCCAAAATTGCCCCAGGAAGCCAATATAAGTGGGAGAGAAAAGGAGTTAGGGGCCCAGATGTGACTGCCGTGAACAATAATGGGTGTAAATACACAGCCCACACTCACCAGTCTGGTCCATGAGGAGCATCCCTACAGCACAAAGAACCCAAAGATACTAAGGTATTTAATGATATTGGGGCATCTAACATACCAATGAATCCAAAGATACCAATCCTACTGGTCCTGGGAAAGCATTGGACAATATCATGAATATGGGTTAGTCAACAAATAATAACGGAGCACTTCCTATGTAATGACTCCATCTCGGACTGGAGAGAAGCTAGATAAAGGCCCTAGGCTCAAGGAATTTGCATTTTTACAGAAAAACATGCTCCCCAAAAGTAAACATGAAAATATATTTAAAAATCCCTATCTATGCAAAATGGAATGAAGAAAGCAAACAAGAGGCTGAGTTGGAAGAGGGGTTGGTCAACTTTTCCCCGAAAGGGCCAGAGAGTAAATATCTTCAGCTGTGAGGCCCCTGCAGCTTCCATCCCAACTCAGCTCTGCCTCTGGACTCAGAGTCAGGCCCTGTCAACAGGAAAGGGGACAGGAGTGGCCCCAGGCACATGACTCCCAGACTGGTCCCAGGTAGTTTGTGGGTCCCTGAGCTGTAGCATCATGGGCAGGGGCAACTTACATGGATGGTCCTAGAGGACAAAGCAGAGGAGGCTACATCCAAGCAGAGACTCATGAGCAGCATGGCGATGAGGCCAGGCAGAGAGCCTGGGGGCAGAGGGCAGCGGAGGAGGGGGCAGAGGCTGGGGAGGGAAGGGCACAGCTGCTGAAGAGCGGTGGGCTCACCCAGGCCTGCAAGGGTTTAGGATGCGACTCCAAGTGCACCACAGCCGCTGACTGTGAGAAGCAGGGAACTGGCGTGATCTGAGTGAATTTCACCTCAAAAGCACGGCCCCTGTTAAAGCTGCTTTGTAAAACACCGGCTGCAGCTGCGGTGTGGGAGGCACAATGGCAGATGGCCAGAGGGCGACCTTCTGTGACAGAGAAGGAGGCATAGGAGAACGTGGTGGAGACAAAGCCCTCCGCGCTGGGGAAGGATGGTGGGGTGGGGAGGGAGGAGAGATTTCAGGATGGACTCCAGGTGTCCCAGCTGTGCAAGGGAGTGGGGACAGGAACCCCAAGGTTCTCATAACCTGAGTTTCCATGCCACAGAAGATGGGGCAAATCCTAAGAAGGACGGACCAGCTCAGCTGGCCGGGTATGATATGCGCACCTGTAACCCTGGTACCCAGGGAGCTGTGGCCGGAGAAGGACGAGTCCAAGCCCACCTGTGCCACTTCACAAGACCTTTATAAAGAAGGGAAAGGGATGTAGATGTAGCTCATAGTGCAGTGTTTGCCTAACAGGTATGAACCCCTGGGCTCCATCCCCAGCCCCCCCACACACACACGCATGCAGGACGGAGCAGGGAGCAGCCGGCCTGCATGCACTCTGGCCATCTTTGGTCACTGCTTCAGTCAGCCCCAACTGTGTGCCCTGCACAAGCTGGGTTTTCAGGCCCCACTAGGGCAGCAGAGACACGAAGAGGGGATCAGGACGAGTGGCAGAGGCCACACACTCCTCTCTGCCCGTGCATCCCCACCCCGGCCCATCTCAGGATCCAGACATCAAAGAACCAAAAGGGCAGCAGAGGCAGAAGCGGAGGCTCCAGCACTGGCTAAGCTGCTGAGAAAGCTAGAAGGGTCCACAAAGGACAACTGCCAAGTACAGTGGAACTCTCACCTCTGTGGTCATGAAGTAAAAGCTGGGCTGCATCAACTTAACATAAATGCCAGCCTGCTGGGGGCGGGGGAGATTTGCTGTTTTTCTAAGAGCCCAAGTTCCAGGCCTGCCCTACCACAGGGAGAGCCAGAGCTGATGCTGGGCAAGTGACCACCCTCAGGGCCTCAGCGGATCCCTCTGGAGTTGGAGCAGATGCTCCCAGGGCCCTTCTCGCCCGACCCCTGGCATTCTGCCTGGGCTGTCAATGTCCACTGTTGGGTGTCGTCCTTCACCACAGTCTCTGGCCCAGGGCTCCTGGAACTCGAACTCCTGCCCCCTGTTTGGGAGACACAAATCCCAGCCCAGAGAGCTCAAGGCCCCAGCTCACTGGAGGGTACACGTGGGCCAGCACCTGGGACCCTGAGTTCATCATAAGATATGGGGCTGGCAGTGGCCTCCCTCTTCCACACATCTTGTCCCCAGGGGCTGTGCACACTCATCACAGATGTCCCCAAGTGCACGTGTAAGAACGGCAGGCAGACTGAAGTCCCATTAAAGCAGGGCTGGGGGAGGCCTCTCAGGGAAACTGAGACCCATGGCATGATCAGGAGGAGAACAGAGAAGCGCGAGGCATGGGGAGAACATGAGCCAGTGGCCACAGGACAGAGGGGTCCAGACCATGGCCTGCCCAATGGGCCATGAAAACGACTTTGGAGTTTAGTCTAGGATCAGTGTGAAGGGTTTGAATTACATCCCTGCAGCTGCCATAACAAAACACCAATACCTGGATGGCTTAGAAGCACAGAAGTGTCTTCTCCTGTGGTCCCAGGGGAGACGGTGTGAGATTTAGGGTCAGAAGGCCCTCGCTCCCTCAGCACTGTGGGGAAGGAGCCAAGTGCCTCTTCCCGGCACCGAGTGGTCAGGTGCCCAGTCATGGCACTCGCTGGCTTATCAATGGATCGCCCAGGCTCTGCTTCTGTGTTCATGTGCCCTTCTTGTCTCTGTTCTCTTACTTCTTTTTATAAATCCACCAGTCACTGGATTTAAAGCCCGCTCTAACCCAACACGACCTCAGCTGACATCTGCAAAGACCCTTATTTCCAGACAAGGCCACCTCCTGAGGGTCGGGGTAGATACGAATACTGAGGGAATGCTACTCAATCCATGGCAGGATTTTAGGCAGGGAATGGGGAGGGTGCAATTTGTGGTTCAGAAATAGGGCTCTGGCTACAGTGCCAGGAACCGCTGGGAGGGAGACAGAAAGCAGGAACGGATGAGGAGCACAGGGGCACGGTGAAGCCAGCCTGGGTTGGGGAGGATGAAGAGGAGGGAGTGGGTTTGATATCTGTTTCAGATCACGTGGATGGGTGGGCCATGGGTGGGCGTGGGGGATACAGAAAGGGGTCAGGAATGCTCCTACCAGAGCTGCTTGGACCCTGGATATACTTGGAGAACATGAGACTCGTCCTCTGCCCCGGGACAGATGAGGCGCTCAGGAAGCCCACAACAAACATTTCTGAAGCCAAAACAAGTTTCTTACAAGTTGAGCACACAGCCTCTTTCTCAGCTTTGGGGGAGACCTCTTCAGGGTCAGTCTCCCAAGCGAACAGTGTTTTCCACCCAACCAGAGCAGCACAGAGCAGCCCAGTACTCCTAGGGGGCACCCAGCCCTCCTCCTGCTCCTGGGGCATGCCTAAGGCCTTAGGTGGCATCTGGGTGAACTGCTGTCACAGTGGTTTCCGATCAGCCTGCACCAGAGACCAGAGAGCCTTCGGGGTAAAGAGAGGTTGGTATCAGCGCCCTCCTGCCCACTGAAGCAGGTGGGAAGAGGGTAGTGAGGTGCAGGCATCCACAGGAGTCCTGCCCCACTGAAGGCTTCCTCTGGCAGCATCCCAGAGAACTCACTTCAACAAAGGCCACACTTTCTCTTTGCTCCTTACCTGCTTTTTGACATACAGCTTGGAAGAGGATTCCATGGATGCTGAAGTACAGAGGTTTCTGAAAGTATCCAAAAGAAATCTCCCATGGGCACATGTGTGGACACGCGCACACACACACACACGCACACATGTGCACACACACGCAGGCTGCTCAGCAGGCTGCCTTTTGATGTGTGCTTCCAGAATGGTGGTGCTCAAAAACCTTAAACCTGAACTGTAGCAAGCTTCCAGCTTCACCCTTCCAGTTACAGATAATACAGGGGACAGAGGAACATGTGAGATGGGACCCCAGTGATGCAAACAGTAAGTGCCAGGTATGGGAGGCCACAGAAGAGGACACCAGATCCTTAAACAAATGCATTGCAAGGGGGAAATGAAGTACAAAGAAAGCACAGCTCGAAAAAAAAAAGCTTAAAAGACTTCACTGCGGGCAATGTGAGGATCTTATTTGGATCCTGACTCGGACAAAACAATTGTTTAAAAAACAATAATTGAGGCAATTAAAGACTGAACGCTAGCTGGAATTATGGTTGTTTTTAGGTGTGATAATGGGATTGTGATTATGTTTCTTAAGAGTCATTATCCTTCAGGGCTGGCTTCTGAAATATTTATGGATGAAATGATAGCATCTGCTCCAAAACGATCCATGGGCTGCGGGGAGAGGAGAGACCTAGGAAGAAACTGCCCATTGCACTGGCCAGGACAGAAGCTGGATGAGGGGAATGTTCTCTTCACGTTAGTGCATGTTTGGAATTTTCCACGATGAACAAGAATTTGTTTTTAAAAGAAGGAAAGATAGGGCCGGGGATTTAGCTCAGTGGTTCTGCTGCTTGCCTTGCAAGCGCAAGGTCCCAAGTCCGATCCCCAGTACCAAAAAAAAGTGACGGCCGGCTCCCCTGGCCAGCTGGTGCACTCCAGGGCATGCCTGGCTCTCCCGAGCCTCAGTTACCCCAGGAAGAAGGGCTGCTGCCTCACAGGGGCTAGCATCTAGTAAGGGCTCCATCGCTGTTGGAGCACATTCGCTCGTTCTTGGTGCTGACCTGGTGCCCTACCAGGTTGAAGTGGGCCTCTCCTCCGGCCACGCTGCCACTCTGCCTGGGCACCTGCCCTGAGGCTCGGAGCCATCCTAGACACCTGGCACCCAGCAAATATTTGACTAAATCAGTGAACTGTAGCTCCAGCCATTCAGTGTCCCCTTTGCAGAAAGAACTCAGAAATCTCTACAGCAAAATCTACTACCTGAGCCTCACCCTCTGCTTTGCCTTGTGGCTCTGGCCAAGAGTCTCAACCTCTCTGAGCCTCCCGTCCTATAAAAGTCACGCTTTAGGGCACACTGTGAAGCAGACTGGATAGAAATCTGGCCCTAAGCCCACCTCTCTGTCCACCCTCATCACCAGGGCTGAGACCTGTGCTGACGGCCACAGCCGGAACTCCCAGGGCAAAGCAGCTCCCGCGGGGATCTCAACTGCCCCTAGCTTGCGCGGTGCCACCAGCTCCCTGCCAGCCTCCCCGGTGTTCCCCTCGGGCTCTGCACTGTTCTCAGGCTGGGGACGAGATCCATCACTTCCCGTGGCTCCCTGGGTCTGGACCAGCAGCCCCGCAGGCCTGCTGAGCTCCCCCTGGGTGCTGGGTCAGGAGGGCTCTGAGGGAGCACAGGAAAGAACAAACATGCCACAGGTAGGCTCTCTCTCCCCCGGGAACTCGCCCCCAGGAGGAGGTCAGCGCACAGGCAGGCGCGGGCAGGGAGACCGGGCCACACGCCACACACGCGGGGCCCGCCGGGGCCCGGTCCTGCTGGGGATCGCCACACCAGCCTCCGACAGGGGCGCCCCCCCGCCCAGGGCTCCCGCGGTGAGAGGCCTACGGAAACAACGGGCACATTCGAGCCGCAGAGAGGAGTAGGGAGATGGCCCAGGGATGTGGGGCGTCAGAGTCCAGGCCTAGGACGTCTCCGAGGTCCCCGAGACGCCCCAAACCTCCCGGTCTGGGTCAGCGCTTGCAGCTCTGAGCCTCACCGAAGGGTGCTGGCGCCCTCTAGTGGACCGAGCGGCCATTACCTCGCTCCACCTGGGGCGTTTTTGCTTCGTTCCCGGAGCAGAACTTAAGGGCGCGGGTCGCTGGCCTTCGGCCCCAGTCCCCTCCGCTGCCTCTTCTGGGCTTCCTGCCTCTGCTCACCGACTGCAACACAAAGTGACACACACTCCTTGCCGCCCTCGCCAGCCTGCTCTGTCGATCTCGTTGTAACTAACGCGCCAAGTTTTCCCGGTAAACGCCTGAGGTCGGAGGAGGTCGGTTCACCGGGCAAAGTCTCAGTTGGGAGTGAAGCTCCCCGGGGTAATCGGGCCCCCGGGAGGCCTTTCGGGGTGTGACGGGAGGCGCCCGCTCGCCCCTTCTGCTAGGAAGTAGGACTGCATCCTGTTTCACTACCTGAAATCATTCGCATCCCACTTCTCAGGGGCCAGCAGGTACCTAGGTGGACCCCAAAGGGAGACTCCGATCTCGGGGGAGTGGGCTCCGAGTCCCTGGGCACCGGTGAACGGAGAGCAGAGGAGAAAAGCTGGGACGACCTTCACCGCTCACTCCTCTCTGCAGCCCTGCCTGGATTTCCGGATAGGACCGCAGGTGGCTCGCAGTCTGTTCCCCTGGACCCTGGGCTGCCCGCCCCGCGCCCCGCGTCCCCGTTTCTGTCCCCTCCCTTTTGTTCATTGGAGGATCCATCCTGGTGTGCCATTCTGGCAGTTGGGGATAAGCCCCGCTGCCACCCCAAGTCCCGGGGGGGCAGAGTTCTTGCCATTAGGTCTAGAAACCCTTGACGAAGTCCCGGCGCCACTTAGTGGACAGAACCGGAAACGCAGCGTGACCACGCCCTGCATCTTGGTACAGGTGTGGCCGGATTCCAGCAAATCAGCATCAGAAAATTCACTGCCTTTTGGAAGACTGAGGAGCCTGGTGAACCCCGAAGCACTAACCTTGTACTCGGATGCCTTAGTTCACACAGTGGCCGGACTGGCGTCGGGCAAACGCTAGCCGAGGAGAGACGCGATGGGCAGAGGTAGAACACACAGAGACTCCTGTCAAAAGTTAGCCGGGCTACCCAGAGAGAAGCACAGCCCTGAGCAGAGTGACACTTGTGAGGCATTTACCACGTGCCAGGCTGGAGCCAAGTGCTCCGTGCATATCTGTGCTTTCATTTTGTGCCCCGTTAGCAGAATAGAGAAGCACACCCAAGGTTGTGAGTCCGGAGCCAGGGCTTGAGCCCAGGCTGCCTGTGCCAGATTTTGGGAGCTGTAGAGCAAGGCTATAAAGGGTAGGTAATGGTCACATACAGACAGCTATGCCTGCAGCCACTGCGGACACACGGCTGCCCCTGGATCCCTGAGTCAAACCCTACCGGCTCAAAACTCGTGTTGACAGAAGGAAGCCAGCCGTGCAGATGGGCTGGCCCGAAACCCTTCCTTCACCCTGAGGCCCATACTGGGTCATCTACTGCAGCAGCTTCGCCTCCCGCCACACTCGTGGCCCCCTTTGTCCTAGGTCAGGCAAGTTTAACTCCAGAGACAGACACGGGGCCCTGGGACTGGGTGTACGTATTTTCGGTAGGAAGTCCTCATGCATCGCTGTCCTTCTCCCCTACCCTTCCCCTTCATGATAGGCAAACATCCAGAAAGAAGGCCAAAGCTGAGGAACCCAGAGTGCATCGAGAAGAGGTGAGGTTTGGGCACCCGGCTGCCAGCATCACTGGAGACGCTGAGGAGTTCCTGCCTCCTGTTCGTCACTGTAAAATAGGAGGCACTGGGTCTGCCAATAGGGCTGTAGGGTCAGCAGCACACTTAGCTTGTGCTCAGTGTTATTTTACGTCTTCTCTTAAAACAGCAAATTGCCCATCTATGCACTCCAGTGGCTTTCGTTTTCCCATTTTAAGCAGACATGCATTTGGAGACATTGCTCTCTCTTTGAGAAAACCAAACAAGTGTGCGAGGCCTGTGGTTAAAAGAACCCTGGTTGTGGCCTCTGCCATAGGTCAGGGGCAAGTGGAGGAAATGGACAAGACGCCCTCCTTCTGAATGGTCTGCATTCATTAGCAACCCCTGACTCCACATAGACACGCTGACCTGGTGCTGCCAGATCTGCTAGTGGCTTTTATGAGAGCTAGATTTCTGCAGAAAAGTGTATGGGCTGCTTGGACACTGACAGCATTTCTTTGAAAATTCAAGTTACCAAGCCAGGCCAGAATGCCTGGTTGCCAGTGTGTGTGGCTACTTCATGCACATGCGCACTTCATAGTTTTGGGAGGCTGAATCATCCAGGGGAGAGTTTGAAAGGATTCCTGTTCCCACCATCTGTTTTTACCCTTCCTTCAAGACTCGGTGACAGGCTATCTGCTATGAGGCCCCCTCTGTCATACCTGGTCCCCCACACCTGGCACCCAGGAGCTTTTTGTGGGTGTGGTGCTGTGGTCCCTGGCAGGATGAACCTTGCTCCAAGGCAAACCCCCCCCCGCTTACCCTTTGTATCCTCTCCCTGCCCAACAATGGACCTGGGCGGCCGATGTTGGATATTGAGAGCAAGAGCACTCCCTGCACATTTAGAACCCCGAATTCTAGCACCTCTGGCTAGAGTGGATCCTTCTCACTGGAATCAGCAAAGGAGTCGGGGCACTGTTGATTGATCCTTCCTCATCATCACCTTCTCACGGAAATCTCGAAGTGGTCATTAGGAATGTTGAGTTCTCTCGACATGGAAATAGATACACAGGTATAATTGCTCTACAACCTGGTGAGTCAATGCATTGGCCCATGAAGTCCAACTCAGTGTTTGGAAACACTCTCTTGACGTGGCTTTATACTGTAGCTCAGCATCTAATGTAATGCATCGTTGAGAAGACTATCTTAGCTTGGGGTTCCCTAAAACCAGCTCCAGAGCCAAGAGTATAGCTGCACATCATTTTTAAGCAAGCTGATGCCAGAAAGACTCAGCAAGGCACTGCCAAAGGGAGATAGCAGGGGAACCCAAGAAGGCTGGGGTTTAATGCCTGGGTCACTGCTGTGGACACCTGGAGCTCAGTCCCACCTGGACTGTTTTAATTGTTCCAGTGAGGAACAAAGAGGCAGGGCTCTGTATCCCTGGCCCCACTTTCTCATTGGTTAAGGGCTGTTGGCTTCCTCAGCTCTGGGCAGAGTCTGAGGACATGATCAACAGGGAACTACAGGAAGAGAAGGAGAGCAGGGCCATGCCTGGGTGACCAAACAGAAGTAGACTGAGCCCTTCAGAGTCCCCTGCAAAACTCTGCTCGAGAAACCCAGTACAGAAGCCCATCTTTACAGAGACTCCATCACTCCTCCAAAGCCCCTCACACTGGCTCACTGGTTTCCCCAGCTCTCCCCCATGACAGATGCGAGGTCCTTATCATCAGCCCCCATTTACAAAGGGGAGAGATCAAGAGTGTGTCCAAACTCAGAGAACCAATCACTAACTCTAATCTGCACACAGGATGAACTTTATGTTACTCAAGACCTTGCCAGGAAGTTATTTTAAATAGCAAAGCATTTAATCTTTTTAAATTATTTTGTAACTTTGAAAGTTGATTTCTTTACCACTTTTCAGGAATCTGTTAGGCGTGTGGTGCCTCCTGCCCTTGGGTGCTTGGCTTTGGCACAGCTGCCCGTGTTCAGCATCCATCATGGTCCCTCTCAGGGCCCGTAAGACCTCCGTGCCCTTTCTGACAATCATTGTTAATAAAACTGAATTAAAACAGCAACCACAGAAATACCATTCATGCTGACCCTCCTGGGTCAACAGTTTAGGGAAGCACATGAATTTTCAGAGAAACACCCAATTGAAAGGTTTGGGGCAATAAAAATTAAATGTCCTCCTAATCAAACACAAAGATTATGTTCCGTTGTCCATTGTAAACCTACTTTCCAGATTAATTTGCCTGATTTGTGCCTGCAATGAGAGAGAATGCCCATAAAGGAAAGTTAATGAGGCTGGAAGTCGCCTGCAAAACGGATGCTGAGAAACTCTGGATCCAGATATGGAAACAAAATTTCTGTAAAAATGGCTTGAAAAGTCCGAGGCCAAGACAGCAGCCCAGGGCTGAAGGACAGGGTGGAACCAGTGCCTCTTCCTCCGGCCACAGGTGACAGACAAGCTTCCCAGTCCAGGGAACACAGCGGGAGACTTCAAAGCAAGCCCAGCTGACACCCGCTCTGCGCTCCACAGGTCCCAAACAAGTCCCCTCTTCAGGCTCCATCTCTGCATATCTGTTTGCTCTTCCAGACATGGACCCACCATAGAGGCCAAGTGTCCCCGCTGATGCTTTCAAAACACAGCCTCAAAGACCAAGTTTGAAATCCAGGCACACCGCTCGCCAGCAGCGTGACCTTGAGTCACTGCTGACATTTAGTTTCCTTTCAGAGTTTTCAAGACAGTCATCAAGGGACAACATCGTGCCTGGCACACGCAACAATAAAATATTACCACATGCTAATCGCTGCCAAGCCCTGGGTCTGTGCTACAACACAGCTGCAATAAACAGTAGTTCCTTCTAGCACTCTGTGACCTCAGAGGCTCGCTTGCTGCCTGGTCCAATGTGCTCAAGCAATGGAAGAGGACTTCCTCGAAGCCTTAACCTAATTCACCCCATCTGTGGTGGATTAACCAATGGCCAACTTGAGTGGGATCGCCCAGCTGAGTCAGTGTGGCTCTGAGCACGGAAGACCCACCTGAGGATTGTTGCCAACGGCATAAAAGAGAACTGGAGGGGGAGGGTCGCCTGCTCTTGATTTTCCTGGAGAAGCTCATTAGGGCTGGTTTTCCTGATACAAACTTGGCTTTTCTCATCTTAGGAGCTTGGGTCCTTGTCACCCTGGGGATGGCTGCTGTTCTTATCAGGGGAGATCTGGTTGTCACTTTGAGCATCACTTCCTGGCTCCATGCAGACCCCTCAGCCTGGTGGTATAGATCCTTCACCCCCTGGTGCAGGCTTTCTGGCTTCCACCACTGGCCTTTGGGCCTCCAGGTGCAGATCCTCCATATGGACAAGCATGAGACATTGCCGTGGGCTCTAGGTCCTTATTGGGACACATGTGGGACATTGCAGTGGGATCCAGGCCCTCAGCTGGATTCTTTGGGCCTCCAGCACGTGGACAGATCTCTTGCACTCCTCTGCATTTGACTTGTTGGGTGACTATTATAAGATAACCCTGTAAATTATGTCCTGTATTAAATGTGTTCCCTTGCAAACCCTGACCACACCACCATCCTGAGCCCATCAACTGCTTTCTGCCCTGTGGTGCCCCCATACTTCCACTAGTGGTTCCAGGATGAAGACAGAGTTTGCTAACCTCCAGAAGTGTGTCACAATGATCAAAAGCAAATTTGAACTCTGCCAGGGCAGAAGTCTTTGGCAAACTACACCTGAGTCTGTTTTATGATTTGTAAAAGGGGGCTAACTGTACCTGCCGGAGAGGATGAGGCATATTGAGCTCTTACACTGCCTTAGTTATACAGCCCAAGGAAGCTCTAGGTGTGAGTGTGTATAGTGCCTTGTTTTGCTGGAGCCAGTGAACTCCTTTCTGGTTCCACATAATTATAAAATCTGCCAAGCTCTACATGGAACTTATGGGTGAGCTCTACTGCTCTGGGTGGGAGTGAATTCAGAGTCAACTTCGCTCTGATCTAGAGTCTATCGGCAGACTGAACACAGGCAATGTTCTCTTCTGCACAACTTGTGGGCTAGATACGAATGACAACTAATTTCTCTGCCAGAGCTAAATGTTCTGTTCTCCTACCTCCAAGATCAGCCAATTGCTGGACTGAAAATGGCTCAGCCTGGAGCATTCCTTTGAACAATCTGACCAAGCCAGTTCCGCCCAACTTCCCCAGCATGTACAGGAAGCGGAAGTGGGGACGTTTGCCCACCAGTGCATCAGTGAGACATCCCAGGAGGCTTTATGGCTCTGCTTCAACATCCCAGAGACAGGTACCAGACAACTAGGCACCATGCCTGTAGCTTCAAGCCCACCACGAGCATTCAAACTAGCTGATCCTAAACATTTCACCTTGCCCGCCTTTCCCACGAAACCCCAGTGAAGACGCTGACCTAAACCTATCCCATAGCCTTGTTTTTTGCTCCTGTTCGCACAAATGGCTGTTCCAAGGGGCTCTCCACAGTGTGCCCACACCTCCTGTCTCTAGGACCTGAGTGTAGCAACTTTGCTTTCCTAAGCCTGTCCTGTCTTCTCTCAGGTCCAGAATGGAGCGTATTCTAATCACTTCACGTCCCAGGTAGCTTTAATGCTGGTACCTGACAGTGCCAGCACTAGCCTGTCTTGAGATTACCTCCTTTGACATGGGAGAGGTCAAAGGTTGACTCAGATGCTCAAAGCCTGGTTAAATAGCCCTCAGGTTCCTCACTAAAGGCTTGGCTCAAGTCTCCACTCCTGCTACACTCAGGACCATGGTGAACTTCTCTCCCCTTCTTCCTTGCCTTCAGGTTCCAGGCAATGTCTTCCCAAGTTGTGATGAAAAACATGGCATACTCTGGGAAGAGCGCCATCAAACAGAAAGGCGGGCTCATTATAACATTCCGGTGCGTCTTCATCCACCTTATTCACTGCGTCTGGCACGGTAAAACTCCTGCTCTCCCCAGAGTTAAAATGACCGTGAAAGGAAACTTGTGACTTAATTCAGGACACTGAGGCAGCCTCAGCAGCTCAACTAACGACATTCAGCAAAGAGAATCACAGAACTGCTTCAGAAAGATGGGATGAGTGTGTCTGAAGCAAGGGGGAGGATAAGGAGAAGGATTAACAGCAGCGTGTCTTTTACTATAATAATTTATTAAACACTCACCATATTTTTTTAACACACCTCTTATCTGATCCACAGTTTGTTGTACCAACCTGTAAAATATAGGTGCTTTTCTAGAAAACAAATTCCAGATAAAAAAAAAAAAAGAAAAATTTTAAAATACCAGAGGATCTGGTGACACCAGCACTGCCTGGTAAGGAGGCAGGAAGAGCTGGAAAAGAGTGGAGTCGGAGGGGCAGAGAGAAGAGGAGACAACAGGGCCACGGACGGGAAGCGAACGGGCAAGTCTGAGGGAGAGGCCAAGAGCGGGGTCCTCCCCACAGACCTGTGCATGGCGTTTAGGAAGATGCCCTTGAAGTGGCAAGAGCTTCACTAGTTAGGCACGCAGGAGACCAAAAGGGATTCAAGAAGAGAATAGGAAGAAGTAAAATTAGCGAGAAGGCCGAGCGTGCAGACTGGCCTTCAAAACCAAGTTAGAATTCCGCTGTGAGCTCGGGAAAGTAGCGTCTGGCAACAGCGAAGAGCTGCAGCTGCCAAGGAGAAGATGAATGTGCCCGAGGGAGGGCACGGTCAGGGTCACAGTCACGGCGACACTGCAGAGGAAACCAGCATGTCTGAGTGCGAAGCACAGGCAGCCGTACGTGCACCTCACAGGAGGGACGGCAGCACAGCCCAGTGCCCACCACCTCGGGCGGGACGCATGCAGAAGGCAGGCTGTGCTTCCCGAAGGGCCCCAAAACACCCGTGCTCTGATGAAGCATGTACTTTTCTTATGTATCAAAAAATAAACTTTTGAGTGACATACACTAGTGGGAAAAATTAGCACACTGGTGTAATTTTTATCAGCTTAAATATATAAAAGTGACAGAGAAACATGGCGTTTAAGGAAATCTTTACAGAAACCCAGACAGTATTTCCATGAGGTGAGAATTTACTAAAAGAGGAACAGCTAAGATGTAGATATTTCCATATCCAAATGCTTGATTCAATTTGAGGAGGCGTGGGTCAATAAAATCACAAACTGTGGTCCATGATTTAGGTTAGATGGTATATTTTAGCATTTTAATAAAGTTCTATGTAAGGTTCAATAAGAATAACAGTTGGTATAATGAATGAAGTGGGAAACTTTTAATTACAAATCCAAGACATCCGGAATAGGTTCCTTTTTTGGTTTATTAAAACAAAACTACATTACTATGCTTCTCACAATACATTATCAGGCATAAAAATCAATCATTTCCAAGTAAGTTTCACTCACAAAATCACACAGCATTATTTTACAATACTTTGTCGTGATTCTTTTTACAACACTCTAACATTTCTTTGTACAACAAATATTTTAACACTTTCCATCAAGACATCTAGCCCTTTAACTAGAAATAAGGTCAAGAGTTTCTTTCAAAGCAATCATTAGTTTGTATTAAACTAAAATGCCATGTGGCAACTCTCAGGTTCCTAAAAAGAGTTTTAAAAAACTGATTTATGTACTATAGTCTTATAAACCTCAATGAGAGACCATATCATTTCTAAACACTAGAACTATCTATGGATAAAAATCTGTGTTCTATTATGCAATGTTTTCTTCTAGATCTGAATTGCAACATTATTTACCCCAATTAATCTTTATATTAATTCTGCTATTTTCAGTAAAAAAGCCAAGGTTATTGACGGCTGATCTTTCCATCAAAGGAAAGTGCTAGGACCACTTATATTACAATTTTCTGTGCTTATTCTTTCCAGAGGAGGAAAAATATATGCATTCAATGCAATGTTTCATGGTACAAAATGCAAGCAAATTCTGCTTCAGTGCCTTCTGTTCGCTACTGTTTTGTCTCCTTAAAGAACTACCTAATGTAATGTTTCCCAAAATGTTTTCCACAGGATACTAGTGAGAGGTACAGAAGTGTCCCAGAAGGGGAAAAGGTCCTGAGGTCAAGATAATTTGAGAAACGCTGGGTTAAATAGGCTTCTCACTGCCGAGGCGGAGCCCGTACCATGCTAAAGTGGACGGGAAGTTGTTGAGCACAGTCTCAGTTCCCAGCAGCCCCCGGGACCCAGCACATCCACTTCCTCCTTCTGTCCGGGGCTGCAGGGAACTCTCCAACCTGCACTTGCATTCATGGCCACCCCTGGTGTATTTTCTCCACTCACCCTCAGGACTTCGTGAGACTTAACAGATCTGAGAAGGATCTGACGCAGTGCTTTCTCGGTTCCTCGTTCTACACACTTTGTTCTCGTGTTTGCCTGTTTTTCTTAGAATTTTAAAAGAGCAGAAGTCCTTCCTTTCTTCTGAATTACTTACGACATTCTCATTTTATAAAACAGAGTGCAGTTTCATATTGCTTATTATTGGGTTCTTTTAAACATGACTCACAGTTTTCCCCTGAAGGGCATGCATTTCGGTTTTACAGAAATGCAATGGAGTAAACTGTAATAAATTATTTACAAGCACCTAGTTTGATTAACATGGAAGCCATCCACTGTTATAAAACAATGAGAATTTAATCTATTAGCAAAACAGTGCTATCTGGAAGCTTTATTGTGATGACTTTTTTTTCCCCAGTAATGAGGCACTGAAGAATGAGCTATGCTAAATGAACTCAAGAGTCAGCTTGTCTGGATGAGCATAACTTTGGTTGAGACTTTTCTTCCTTAAAAAAGGTTTTGAAGCACCAGTTAATTACCAAAAAGCATGCATATTTATCCTCACAGTGAACTGGGTGGTGAGGGAGCTAGCAAATTGCATTCCCTAAGCATGTGATTTAATTTTTTGAAAATAACCAAAAGGAAGAATAAAGCAAGAGAAGCCACAGTTTCTTCTTCCAGGCTGGGAAAGCAGCAGCTCTCTGCAGAAGTGGCAGGCAGAGCAGTGGGAAGTCAGACTCGGCCTTGACTTTCCTCCAGCTGAGAGTTTCACTGATCCTGGATTTACAATTCAGGAACAAAAAAAGAGGAGAGAGGGAAGGATGGAAGGAGAGAGAGAGGAAGGGAGGGAAGGGGAGGGAGAGAGATAGGCAGGCAGACAGCAGGCAGGCTAGCGAAACCTTTGAGTCTCCAGTTAAGAAACACCCAAGGGAATGAGCAAGACTCCCTGGGTAACCCCAAGAACAACCAAAGGAAGTGCTCCTCCACCCTAGTTTATAAAATGAAAAGTTAAAAGGTGAATAGCTCACTCTACATCATAGTGGCGACAACTCACGGTGACTTAATAGTACACCAGTTTCTACAAAGATGGAGAAAAAAACGTGTTTTACACACAGAATTTGAGGGGAACAGAAGGGGATCATGACAGCACACACAGTGTTACTGCTATTAGTTCCAGACAAGATTGTTTCATACAGTGTGACGTCAGCATCCCTCCTCTCCTGACACTACGTCATTCACAAGGTCCTGTCAGTGTTTACAATCCAAATGTAGCAATGTACAAACTGAATTCTCAATACTTTTACACTAAATCCAAAAAATCTGTGCAACACTCATCAGAAAAGATGGCTAGTTCTATGATACTGTGGCGATAAGGGACAGTAAATTGTTAGAAAAAAATGTTTAACATTACACGATCTGTATCAAATAACCACAATTACCACGATTAACTGACAATTATGCTCCCTACTCACAAAGGGGCTCCTAGCCATTAAAACCAGACCATTTTTTATAATTATTTACCTCTACATGGCATTGAGCCTCAGGCATATAACCAATGTAAATTTCTTACTAAACATGGTTTTTTCTCAAAGCTAAAAATCTGTAAATGCCTCCCACTGTTCACCAATCAGTAGGGTCACTGTACATACCACATGGGTTGCACACTACACAACTCGAGTGAGTACCTGTCCCCCGGAGTGGGTGCAGGCCAGCACCGGTGTGCAGGACATAAAAGCAATCTGCAGCTAGGCACTGTACGCAGTCTGTCCTGCAGCTGAGCACTTGCTGTGTGGCTGGAGGATTCCTAAGAAACAGCTCTGCCTGTGAGAGGCAGTACCTACCACCCGAGGGGTGAAAAGGGGCAGACATAAAACTGGAGGGGGTTTGTTTTTTCTTGTTCTTTTCTTTTTTACCAGTACTGGGGACTGAACTCAGGACCTTGCACTTGTGAGGCAGGCATGGCACCACTGAGCTAAATCCCAGCCCAACAGAAGCATTTTTAAATACTTGCTGGTCATTCAAAATTCAATGGCACTTTTTTCTATGAGCAACAGTGTTCAGTGCCGATTTGCTGGCCAACTTTACCTTGAATTTTCCCAGCCAAATTTATCACCTGATGTTAGCTATTGAATCACAGTATCTCAGTTCCTGGCCTAAAGTAATACTATTTTCATGTAACTCTTAAAATGCTTTCTAAATCCGACTGCAGAGAACAACACAATGATACTGGGTGCAGCGTCTCAGCCCACTCCTCTGCAAAGCACTTTGGGATGAACAGGGCTCCCACATGGAATTTAGCTAACATTGACAAAGATAAAATCGAAAAAGAGTGAATGGAAGATTCAATTATTATGAAAGGAAATAGTAACCATTAATCCGAAAATATACCAATGAATTACCCAACAGCATTATAAATCCTACACAAGGTTCAGTTCTAGAGCTCGAGCATACACTTCTGTGTTCATCAGAGCAACTGGTCCGTAAGAGTTGCGCTTAAAATGTAAACTGTTAATAGACTTCAAAATAATTTATTGAGACTTCATCTAGGAACCTACTGATTATGAGCTGCAGACAGAGGCTGAGGCCCCCAGTGCATCCGCAGGCCAGGAAGAGTGCAGTCCACAGAGGGAGAAGGCACTTGTCTTCTAAGGTCACCTCGGGCACGGCAGACCTGGCGCGCACTGGCACCTGCGACTCTCAGGCCAGAGGACGAGCAGCGAGGGGCCCGCCTCCAGCCTTTCAGCTGCCAGAGGTGCCACACGTTACCTACAGCACCACAAAACTCAGAATATATTCTAGGAGTTTCTGCCGGTGGCATTGAGGTAGGAAAGTGCTGCTCAGTTCCAAAACAGATACTCGCTTTTGCTTGGTCTCTTTGAAAACCTGCAGAGAAAATTTAGAGTAAATTCAAAGCAAAACAAATGGGAGGCGAACGATCCTGTCAGCAACCCTGTCTGTCCTGCGTCCTGGCCCCAGAACGCGTGGAGGGACACACAGCCGTGTGCCACGTGAGGTTAGTGTGTCACGCAGACGTGTGAGCCCCAGGCAGGTCAGGGCTCAGGTGTGCGCGCTGCCCGAAGTTCAGCCAGGGCAGCATGCTTCAAACTTCACGCTGAAGTGACAGGCAGTCTCCTAGAAAGGCAACAGACGGCTCTACGGAGTTCATGTCCCGCATGCTATGTGACAGTAAAGGTCACCTGGGGACACTCCATGTGACACTAGTACAAATGCAAGGGTTAGGGCTAACAACGGAAAAGCACACAGAATAATTAAAGGCTGAACTTGCAGTAGCATCCTAAACCATAGCGATCGATACCTGTTATATATAAATAATTGGGAATAAATGTAAAAGCAGCAAAATTCTGGGACAGTCAAATAGACCCATACTGAAGAATGTCACTTTCAACCTGTCCCCTCTCCACCCTCATCCCCAGAAACATCGCCCAACCTGAACTGCTAGAAAGTGCTTCTCCTGCACTCCGGGACACAGCAAAGGCCGGCAAACCGATGATCTACAGAGAACAAAAAATAGTGAGCACCTACCCCAACGTCCTTAAACATTTTTACGGCATTCTTCACGAGGCAGTACGTGGCACTCTCAGCTGCGAAGAAACAAGAAGGCCTTGTCAATGTGTGGGCCCTGCATACGCGGAGCAGCAGCTGGGGAGAGGGTTACAGCAGGACTGCAGACTGGGCAAGCTCCATCTCCACTACTGCCAACAGCAAGGTCTCTCCCAAATGACCTGCTGTCTCTTTGAACCTACTCTTTCATCTATTATGCTTTAAAGAAAAAGACACAGAGATTGAAGGGAAGGGAGAGAAGGGAGGGGAACTACCTGAAGTATCTATCCTGCAGGCCTTTTGGGAAAACAAGGCATAAACATACTACATAATGATACGCATATGATCCCTACACCTGTGAGTCATACAGAGCACAAGTCTAGGGGTCAGAAAACAAGAATTCTAGATCCACATTTTGCCATTATCTAGGTAAATAAACTTAGATAGTTTCCCCTTCCAAAAAGTAAAGTGACTAAATTACACTACCTCTAAATACCTTTTGCTCTAAAACTTAATTCAACATAATTTCAGTTCCAAGCCCTAACCGTACAGTGTTATTTCCACACCAATCACAGCTCTTAGGAAAAGATGCTAAAACAGATGACCCTAAGAGCCGGTCAGGGTGTGGAGCTACTGAAACACACTCTGTGTGGGAATGCAAGTGGGCACAGCACGTGCAGTACCTTCTGGTGCTGAACACACCCACAGGCTGTGCCCAGGCAATTCTGTCCCTGTATCTGCATGCAGGCCATGTATCTGACCACAGATATTCACCCAGAGACACAGACAGGTTCATAGCAACACTATGCGAAGTAGCTCAAACTGCAAACAACCCAAACGTCCATCAGCAGCATGAGGTAAATGCTTACATATCAGAACACATCACAGCAACAAGAACAAAGAAAACTGCATGCGACATTATGAATCTCACAATCGACGTGAAGTGAAGAAAGCCAGACAGAAGAGTCTATAACTTGTCATTTAATTTATACGCCATATCAAAGCAGATAATAGTAATAACCTACAGAGAGGTCAGGATAAGTTTGCATTTTTCTAATTTTCTATAATTTTTAACATAGTCTTAAAAAGAAGTGAAAATGGTGCCTTCACATACCATAAACTGCAATATTTCTCTCTGTCCTGGTCAGCAGGTATTTGTGCAGCTTCTGCAGATACTCAGGCTCCGGAATAGGACCACTGAAGTTGTGGACGAAGATGGCAGCAGAGCTGTAGGCCTCCAGCAAGGGCCCCAGGAGCCTCTGCAGGAAGGTGAGGAACTGCTGGTGCTCCTTGGACTGGCTCACCTGCATGTAAGAGCAGGAAGGGAAGTCACAGGGCACAGAGAGGAGAAGCCAAACAAGCTGACGAGGACTTTCTGTGCAGAAGACAGCCACTCACACAGCACTATATGCAAGCAGCCTACTGCTCCTCTGCTGATCCTGAAATGTGTTCTTTATTGCAATCACTCACTTTTACAGTGTTTGAAGCTTGACTTCCTTGCGCAACCACCAAGAAGAAATTTTCATAATTGAATGACATAATTATGACACACTGACATCACTGAAAACAGCTGCTGCTGAGGCTGAGCCCTCCAGAGTTCGAAGCCTGAGCACAACAGCCAGGGGAGTGTGCATAGCACTGTAAGGGAAACCACCAAGATCATCTCCGCCCTCCCCAGCTCCCGCTTCCTGCCCCTCAGGCCCCTGCCGGAGCGCAGCACAGCGCCATGGAGGAGGAAGGCCACCGTGAAGGGCTGCCTCTCCCTGTCCTGCTCAAAACACACAGGTTCACTGACCCCCCTCCAGAGTCTGGAAGCAAGATCACTGCCCAATCCCGAAACTGGCAGTGCACAAATGACAACAGAGAAATTCCGAAATGTCATTTGAAAATGAAAATGCTGCCTCATAGGAGCACAAGCAGCTAAACATCAGGTACCTGTGCACTGCATGAGTGACGCAAGGTACCATCTGTGGTCTTCTTCGTCCTGGTTTTTCAATTTTCCTTTCCTTTCCCACTTACCAACCCCCAAGCTGAACAATGTAAAGTAATAACTTAAACGGTGTGAGAGTCTTTACTAGCTAGAAGGTACCAGAGCCGCTCAGTGGGTGCATCAGATACAAATGAATGGACCAGGGTGCAAGTTCATCTGGGCGCAACAGAAACCTCAACTCATCGCTGTAACGTGCCCCTCAACTCTTCACCAAAGTACCTTCAGGTAGCAATCTCGCTGCTCCTCACCAAAGTCACTGTCTTCATCTTCTTCGTCACTCCGCCATGACAATGGTGCAGGAAGCTTCTTGTCCCAGTGCTGCTCTGCAAGGCCAGGACTGATATCTTCCTGCTCATCTTGCTACACCAAGGAGATGGCCAACAGTGAAGGGACACACACAGACATGAGCACGCCTGCCCAGCTGGCCCAGCCCAGGTGGCCTGCTCTCTTCTCAGCCCCTTCCCGCCTCTGTTGAGCCTCCCCCCACCCATCCACCTCCCTCTCCAACCACAGCCACCCAGCAGGGAGCAGGGGAGGGAGAGGGAAACAGGTGCCAGGCAGGCCAAAAGCAAATGCCCTCACATCTTCTGAATTAAGACCTGCCTACCTCCCTAGGCCCTGCCTTCTACACGGCATCTATCAAAGTTAAAATCTCATAGGAGAAGTATGCATCTGTGCAAGCTGTGAGTGTATCCACGTGTACACGTCATCTCAGAAAGCAACTTCTGGCGCCACAGAGTCAAGCTGGGATGTGCTTAGATAATGCCACTCACACAGAAGAAACCAAAATAGTAATCCCAAGAGGCATTTACTATCCTCACTGCATGACTATGCAGAAAATAGAATTATGAGTTAAAATAACTGGCAGAAATAGAGGTTTAAGTAATGGGTAGAAAAGATAAGGAAATGAAGAGCAAGAAACTAAATGAAGACAAATAAAGCAAGACTTGCTCTTACCTCGGCCACTGTAAGAATGCCATACTGAATGAACCTTCCTACTGTTTCATGGCAAACTTGGTAAAAAGTCTGGCAGGGCTGAAAAGAAAAGTCATTGAAACGTTACGCGTCACTGTTCTGCATTTCTTTGCCTACAGACAAAACGTGTGCAAAGTGGCTGCCAAATCCATTCACTCCATCACCTAATCCACTCTCGCGGGCCAGTGTGAGTCTCATGATTTCCACACTCACTCCTGATAAATGCCTGGCAATTAGGCTAGTGCCTCAAGCAGGGCAGACCACTCCCCCGGGACTGGTGGCGCACCTAACCCAGCACCACCTGCAGAGGGCGCTCCTGGGCGGTCTGTGCCCTCAGAGGAGCAAGCTCTATTGAGGGGCAGCTTCTCAGGCTCCCACCACCTGTTTCGTTTTCTTTATGAGACAAACTCTCTGCAAAGCCCATCTTACAAAACAGTTCACAAAAGTAGTGAATGAGAAAACACAACATTCCAATACCTCAAAAAGGATCCAAGTAAGGACGAGGTCAATCACACCATCCCATTACCCAGTTCGTCCAAAACAGGTTCCCCCAAAAAGGACCACCCAGCAACCACACACGGAGGATGTGGGGCTGCTCAAAACACAGGTCCTCATAAACGGCTCAGACAATCCACATAGGGGGCAGAGAGCACAAGAATACAAATAAAATATGGTTCTATTTGATGATTTTGAGGGGGAAAATATATTGCCTAAAATGTGGGCCTGTTTCAAATGTATAAAAGCGCTGTGATAATAAATACACACTTTTACTGCTGGGCCTTAGTTTCCCATCTATAAATGGATGGGATGTTGGACAGATGACTACCAAACTGTTTCTGACTCTCCTGTCACCTATGCTTTTATCAACAGCAGGTGGCTGTGTTAATTACTGATAAACCACTGACCCAGTGCCTTACGCACAATAAAGGCTCAGTGACTTTGGATGTGACCAACTGAGACAGCTGAACAATCTGTCTTCTCATACCTCAGCTGCACGAAGGCTCCATGGGGCAGTAAGCCAGATACAAATCAAGATAGCTAGTGCTGTATTGGTTTGGTGGCAGTGAAACCCAGAACTAGAAGAAAAGCCTGCAAGAACAGGCCGAAAGTCCTGTGAGAAATGAAGACGGTTTCTGTTTTCATACAAATATTCAAGTGAGAAAGAACAGGTAACCCCGAAGAGCCTTCACTCACAAGAGAAATGGTGCCTTCATTGGAGAGCAGATAGCACAGGCTGGCGGCTTTCCGCACCAGCTGCTCCTGGCTGACCATGCTGCCAGAGGTACTGGAGGGCCCTCCTGAGCCCCTCTTGTTCATAACTGCATACAGGCTGCAGGCTAAGAAAATAAAAGGCAATAATAGTCACTGCCAAAATGTCTCCAGGGAAAGCTGCAACTGGTCCAGTAACCCGGGTTCACCTTAACAGAGTGTTCATATATCATAAACAGTGGCCTGCATTCGCTGGAGAATTTTAAATAAAGCCCCACAGGATTCAATTCCTGTGATTCCAGGAGATCTCAACTCCATCGAAGAACTTCCCGAGGGCTCAGTTCCCTCCGCTCTCCCTCCTATGGGTTCTCCAACTGCTGGGTCTTCCACTCTCTTCACTGCCTTGTGTGTCATCTCAATTAGATTTTTAGTTCCTGGACAGCAAGCCATCCTGCCTCTCTTCCTCAGTAGTAAGTATATCATTATGCATCCAGTAATTCAGTAACTACGTGTCATAGTTACAAATAGTGATATGGGAGCAGGTGACATTTTCACTTAAAAACTAAAAATACAGGCCAGGGATTTAGCTCAGTGGTTCCGGTGTCTGCCACACAAACACAAGGTCCCGAGTTTGATCCCCGGTACAAAAAAAATAAAAATTAAAACAATAATAAAAATACAGCAATGCAGTCCCCAAACAAGGGGCCATTCTCCAGAACACCCACCGCCATGTGTGTTAGGCCTTTCTACGTTCCAAGAAAATACTTGAATATGTTTCAGGCCTGGCATACCTATGATAGCCTCCATGATAAAGACAGGAAGTACCCCGCTGCTGTAGAAGTTGAGTTCAAAGACTGACGGCACAGTTGTGCTGGGAGTAATAAAAAATTCACCGTTCCTGCTGGTGTGCGTGATTGTGACGCAATTTCCCAGCAGCTGTATAGCATGCATGACAACATCTTCTGAATTTCCTGAGAATCCCAGGTCAAAATCACGAGCCAGAACTTCCTCCTTCATCACAAAGAAGTCTTCCACCAATGTGGAGAGATCAATCCCCTAAAGAGACGAAATGGCATCATAACAGTGGAAAACCTACTTCCCGAAAGGCCAAGGGGCCAACATTCCGGGACTTCTTGCCTTGGCTTTCCCACAGCTTGTTACTCTGGCACCTACAGAGACAGGCCCAGATCAGCAACGCAGCGCAAATAAAAACCACTGCAAAAGCGGGCCCCCCGCAGCGTCATGACTCCACCTGCCAGAGGCCACGCTGGCCACGTCGTTTAGGAGGGTGTCACAACCACAAAAAGAAGGGAGAGCTATCTGACAGAAGTGCTTATCGTTTAGCAAGAGCTTCCTTCATTTTAAATACTGTTCCACAAATATTTAGGTGGTAACCATACACTGGCACTATCTGGTGTTGAGAATGTGACTGTCCCATAGCAGAGCTCAGACAAGTCACTGCAGGAGGGCAGTGAGGGGTTCTAAAATGCAAATCAAAGCATTTGGACTCACTACCTGAACACATACTACGTGTCAGTGAAATGTACTTTATTTATTTTAATCACATTAATCAAAAAATGTCTTATCACTTCATGTATTAAATATCCAACTTCTCCCCACGTGCCTCTTTTACCAGCTTTGTAAACCCCTTTGGGCAGGGCCCTTCTCTCATTTCACTGTTTATCTCACAGTACCAGCCAGGAGTGGCCAAATCTACCCTGAGGAAGTGTCTGAGAAGCTGATAAACATTCTCGGGCTTTCCACGGAGCTGCAGGTAACATCTCAGAACCTACCTGCCTGTGTCTGTAGAGGAGCAGGCAGGCCACAATGTGTGTGGACATAATGGCACAGGACTTGCTAGCAGCTGGAAGGCAAACACAGAGCTTAGTTGCATTTTTCTTTTCTAATACAGCTGAAGCCCTTTTAAGGTACCTTAACTGGAATCAGGAGTATTTAAAACCGTAACAGTCCTCCACCGTATTTCCTCTAACTGTAATGTGCCGAAAGGAAGCTATAACATTCCTTAGTGCCAGTAAAAGGAAGCTCATTAGACATCACCATTCAACGCGCCAGGCCACAGGTCCACCATCAACCCAGGCCAGTGGAACCATGGTACTGAATGATCAAGGGATGCCTTCATCCAAGTACCAAGACCCAAAGTTGGAGCCTGTTCCAGAATTCTACTTCATATCTCTCGTTCATGTTTCTTGACTCATTCTCATTCACCACATTAAAATGGAAGTGTAATAAAGAGCATAAAAGAAGATTTGAAGTCAGAAAAATCTGGGCTCAAATCCTAACTTCTACATTAATTAATTTCATGACTTGGGGACAATTACATAGATTTCTGAGCCATAGTTTCAAAAACACCACACAGCTCACTGATGAGAAGGAAATAAGGAGCAAGCAAAGACTTACAGCAATGGGTACTCACTTTCTCTTTCCAACCTGGCCCAGAGATGAGGATGGACACAGAAATACATCTGGTATCATCCACAGTGCACAGCCTAACTCTGAATTTGTAGAAAATTATCATATAATTATGTGAATTTCTATGGGATAATTTGAAACAAGGATATTATTTATGAGTTTTCTGAGCAATTACAGCGAATTCATGAATCTTCATTCACAACTGAAGTTTCCAGTGTTTGGAAAAAAAAGTATTCAGTACCATATTTATAGCCATTAAAAACAGCATTTAGAGAGTTCTTAAAAACATTAATAAAGGTGTTATCAGTGGAGAATAGCATGATATAAAACTGCAAAATATGCTCAGAGACCTGACGGCAACACCACTGGTTACTGGGGTAGCAGGTTTGCTACTTATTGAACCTCTATTTTCCAACTTTCCAACAACTAGCATGCATATTTCCTGCATCCAGATCACAGGCAGGGGAGATGCACAATCAGGTGTGCTTAAGATGGACTCGGAGTGTGGTGCAGGGACAGCACTGCCTAGCATCGCGCGGCTCTGGGTCCCATCCCCAGCAGCTCAAAAAGAAAAAGAAAGAATCCTCCGGAGGAGTCAAGTGAGAAAAGGAGCAGCCAGGGTGGAAGGAGTGAGCATCGCCGGCAATTCCGCTGTCCTGGAGAAGAGACCCTGCAGACTGAGCACCCGCACCACAGCGCTGGCCCAGGATTTAGAGCAGCCCCCCCAACAGTGCCCAGGCTGCAACGAGGACCTTAAGGAAGTTCGCAACGCTCAATTCACACCCGGCCTGGAGTCCTGTGACCGAAGGTATTTGCGCACAGTGACTCCACCAAGCAGAGCAGCAGCTCCCAGAGTACAGGATCATTAAGGATCCCATTCATGTTCCCCTCAGCTACAACGAAGCTGTAGCATATGAGCCACTTAGTATTTCCTGAATAAAAATACTCATGGGGTCAGAGGTGAAAGGGACACACACAATAAACCCACATGTTGTACCTCAAATTAGTTCAAAGCACATTCATAAGCAAAAGAGGCCACAAATTTGGATGAAACTGTTTTTGAAAAGGACAAGAAATGCCACATGAGCACCTGAAGCTTTCCCAACAAGTTTTACTTGTATTCCCTCAAATCCCCCAAATCACCTTCTTTCCGACACTTTACCTCTCACCTGCAGATTAGGTAACTGATCCAGAAGGGCAAACTATCCTCAGCAGACTCGGAAACCCATGCAAGTTGCAGGGCACCATGTTGAATCTGAATTGCAGAACTGAAGACTGCAGAATTCTACTTACTGAACAGAATGTGCTCAGCCAGATTTGCAATCAGCCTTCTCCGGAAGAATTCATCTGCTGCATTTCTGGACTCGTTATTGGACATGTCTGTACCTTCAGCAGCAGCATCATTAGGTCTGAAAAGACTCTGAAAATCAGTCTTCTACAGCCCCACTCTTTCACAAGGCAAGCTACATGGACTAGTCTAGAAATGTACTGGCCACTTCAAATTACTACATATTTTAAACTTAAGCCACAGATGAATTATTTCAATGGGTTGTTTTCCTCCATAATACACTTTATTATTTTAATATATTCCCTTGAGTAAAATGTTATTCAATTATTATTAGAGAGTCTATTGGTATATTACTTTCAAAATTCACTGCAAAAAGAATGCAAAAAGCAAGATGCCACATTTTAAGACATGTCCGAAAACTCAATATATTCACCTATTAAAGAAAGAGCTTAATGTAAAAACATCATACTCAATACATTCACCTATTAAAGGAAGAAATTAATCAAATTTCTCTAAGTTACAATTCAATTTGAATTCTGGAAAATTCAGATAGCAGAATACTGTTTCATTTATGCACAATATGCATAACCTAAGCTACTACCCAAGAAGAATTCAATTCAAATATTCCAAAGCATAAATCAAATAAGAACTCTTACACAATTTACAAAATCAAAGATTTTACATGCACATAATCAATAACCTCCAAACTAATATTAAAACATATTTTAATATCCTTTATCATATTAAGAGAAAAGATACTCCAGTTCGGAAATGAATAAGAAGCAGCATGTTCTTAATAAAGTTAAGTAATCTACTTCTCCAAGCAATATTAGAAATATCAGTTGATAGTTTAGTTAACACACACAAAAAAAATCTACAAATCTTACCTTAAAGGAAGTATAGCTGGTAACAGCGCTTGCTCCAGATTAAGTGGAGCAGACACAGGTTTCTGACTTTGACTTTCTAAATATTCCTGGGGGGTGGGGTGGGGAGAGTACATGATCAGTAGCCTTACTGTCTCACTTTCATATCAACACATAAAACATATTTTGATCTTCAAAGGTTAAAAGAAAACTGTTTATAAATAAGCCATGCTATGGAGCATGGGAAGTATCTTCTCGATCCTTCTGTCTTCAGAAGTTCAAAATTTCACTCATAGAACGTTATTAAGCATGAAATTTAAGACATGAAGACACAATGAATAGACTGATGTGTAAATAAAATCATTTTAAAATTTAAAAAAAAATTCAACTTTTCTCCTATCTTCATGGAAATTACTTGACATTACCAACATAAGCAATAGTGATAATAGTGACAGCCATACTTTTTGAAGAAAACATAGCAACCTGGGAGTCACGTAATATTCAAAAGAACTTCAATCCAAATCATATGAAAATGGAGAAGCTGTGCAACAGTTTACAAAAATGAAACAATAAAGAACAAGTGAGTTGAAATGGTGAGGTTCCTTTAAGCCAAAAGCGTTTAAGACTACAAAACATTTAGGACAGCAGCTGGAATCTTTTAAAGTTGACCCAAGAAGTAGAACAGAAGTAAGGTCAGTCCTCTGTTCCTTATCCTTGGGTTCTTTGCCATCCTCTTCTTTCTCCCTGACCAACTTGAAAATTGTAGGAATTTAAAATAGCAAGGACCTGAGTAAACTGAGAGTCCCAGGCTTTACTGAGGATGACACTGTTAGCCTTCTGGGTACTGGATTCCACTCAGTAGGATACAGCATCATCCTATCAGTCTTACCCTGCTTATAGCAATAAGCACTGAACCTCTTATCTCCCAGAGACAGGCAGATTTTGGAGGAAAATTTAGGAGATGCCATTCTTATGATATTCCTCATTTTGTAGAAGAGGAAACAGAGACCCCAGTCACACAGCAGTGAGGAGGGAGTCAGGACAAGAGCCCAGGTTTTCTGCTCCACGTCAGTGTTGTCCCAACAGACTCTCACCTTTAAGGAAAACGGTTGTGCAAAATCCACTCGGACATAGCCATAGTTTTTTCTTAACATTCTGATAACACCTCTTGCTACACTCCAAAGGCTCTCATTCTTCTTAGGTTTGCCCTAAATTCCAATAGCAGAAAAAAGAAAAAAAAAAAAAAAAAACAGTGAGATATAAAGCTAACACTTGTATATTCTTTTTTCAAAGAATAAATTTGTTTATAGAAACCATAGGTTCATCTTGAAGAAGACAATAACAAAGAAAAGAAAAGTAAATTTTTCATTAAGTGAGACCTGTCAGAAAATGTTTAGTATTCAAAGATGCTAAAAGATGCAATAGTCATTAGGAGAGGTAATTCAGTCAATGAAAAACATCTGACACTAGTTCATTTAGTACAATGTTCACATACCCCACAAAAATACAACTGTAAGCCAGTGAAGGGCAAAATGACATTATACCCTGAGAAATTCTTCTGTAAGTTCTCAGATAAAAATGAGATGCGAAAGAAGCCACTTATTGAAGGTCTGTTGATCCCTGGATTATAAATACCTAACTTTAGACACTAAACACCAAAGTCAGCCTCATAGTGGCCTTTGAGCTGATTATTCATCTAGGAACCATTTACTGAGTATCTACATAAGGTACAAGGACACCTCACGACACAGGACAAGCAAGGTAAACATTAAGCACACAGTGACGACACATGGAGAAGCATGTGAGCCAGGTAGTTACCCAGGTCTGTCACTTAATATTTTAAGCCTCCAACTGCCATGCGTCCTTGGACTTCTCACATTGTTTGAAGCTATAATTCTGAAACAAGTACTTTGCCCAAGACTTCCGTGCTAAATCAGAACAAAGCTAAATTCCTGGGGCACTCTTATGCGGCTGGTAGGAGTTGTAAGTTGGTAAAACCATTTTTTACCAACTGCTAAAGTGTTTGCCAGCATTTCCTAAAGCTGAACACCCCCTACACACATATCACACATATATATACATTTTTCCCTATCAATTCTATTCTAGGCTATCGAGCAAAATTCATAGATTCCAAAAGAAGTGTATAAGAATGATCATGGCCAAACTTTTTTTCAAATAGTACTATAGATACATTGTAATTTACTTATATATTAGAATAATACACAAGGGGCTGGGGATTTAGCTCAGTGGCACTGCGCCTGCCTCACAAGATCCTGAGTTGGATCTCCGGTACCAGAAAAAAAAAAAGAATACTACACAGCTGTAAGAACAAAGGAACTGTATACAGCAACATGGATGGATCTCACAAACATCTCTGCTTGAGCAATGGAAACCAGATGCAAAAGAGTGCCCAGTGAACTACCCCGTTTATGAAAAGCTCAACATGGACAAAACTGATCTGTAAGAACTCAGACAAGCGGTTACCCATGAGCGGGTAACAGAGGAAGGGTACAAGAGGAAGAGCTGCAGTCCTGATGATAGTACTCCTTCACCTAGGCACTGGTTACATGGGCCGTGTTCACTCTGTCACAACTGCATCTGCACGCTTACGATTTGGCACTCTTTGGTAACTACTAGACTTCAATTAAAAGTTACTGAAAAAATTCCTTCTCAAGCTAATATACAGTTACTTTGCTGACACAACCCCGCCAGTTCTTCAGGTTTCATTAAAATCACCACATAAGCAGTGGGCCTGGGGAAAGTAAACCACAACAGAGACGACAACTCGGCGGCAAGTGTTCTTCCCTGCCCTGTCCCACGACGGGGCCAGCACTGACTCACTCACTGCCGCTTCCCCTCAGGGCAGACTCTCCCACGCTCACGATGGACATGAAGGGCCTCACCACGCCTCCCATCCATGTTGCTTACAATGCTGCAAAAACAGTGCACACCAAAAAAAACACGGGCAGCTGATTCTAAAAGCAAACCTAAAAAGCAAAGACGAGTTTCACATAGGCAGTCCTCCTACCAGTTGTTCGCCGTTGTAGTGACCTTCGATTATCCGATCATAGGAGATTCCAACAGGTATTATCAAGACGTCCGGGGTGGTACTGGTAGCCAGCGTGTCCACCACCACTGACAGGAGTCCCGCCCTCGCACAGGAGGTCCGCCCACTCCTGGAGCGTGTGCCTTCCAGGAAGATCTCCAAGAACTGCTGCTGCCGAAGTAGTTCAACTACGTGCTAGGATATGAAGAGACAGGAGAGCACGAATTAAGATCACTTGGCCTAGAATGAGCTCAGAAAAATTAAATATTAAGAAAAAATGAACTTCACTACCCATAAAATATTTCATTCACAACAAATGTAGCAAAGCAGCCCTGCCAACCTTATACTTTAGTGACTAGAAAACATCAAACTCATACTTAACCAATAATCACTCAAATTACTCAGAGAACAGTTTTTTTAAATCTCAACCATTCACAACAAATGTAGCAAAGCAGCCCTGCCAACCTTATACTTTAGTGACTAGAAAACATCAAACTCATACTTAACCAATAATCACTCAAATTACTCAGAGAACAGTTTTTTTAAATCTCAACCCAGTCAAGTCTCTTTCTCCTTCCACCCAATCATATGATTGCTACCATCATGGCTGTAAGGATAATTCATGGTCATACACACCCCATGCAGCAAAGCTCTATAAAGAGTATCTTTTCGTCCATCTGGTGTTTCGTCTAGCCTCCGTCGTATGAAAAAGCCCCCGAGCTTATGGATCAAGGTACTGTAAATTCAAGAATGCATCAATTATTTATAAGGAAAATGTAAAAAGGACATCAAATTCCAAGTTACTTCATAACGCTTGCCACTGGATATAAACCACATGTGTCGTGTGAGTGTAGATGAGAAGTGTAGACTTTCTTTCATTTTCCACGTTACTGATGTGTTTCGTCCGTTTACTGAGCAGCCTGTGGAAGACTACGCCATAGAATGAGGTTTTACCACATCGGTTCCAAACCAAAAGGAGTTTGGATGTATCAGTCCACAAAGGTGATGGCACAGCTTGTAAGAGGATTATGAAACACCTCTAAGTTTTAGACCCTACCCACAGTCTCAAGACACTGACCCTTCGACATGCGGAAATCTGACCATGGCATTTTACTACAAAAATGAAAAAAAAAAAAAGAAAAGCTCCTTCGAGAAAAGGAGTAACTACTGCTTAAAGAGGTTCCCTGTGAGATAAGAACAACGGTTTTATTAAACTGAAACCAAACATAATCTTTACAAGATAGCCAACAAATGTGCTTCATTTACTCATACATGGAATCAATCATGCTCACAACCCTACATCTCTTGCTATAACACTGATGAATTCTGACATGAAGTTGAAATTTTGTAAGTCAAATGTTCCCAAACTCACAGCCTCTTCCTATTATATTCAAATAGAATAATACTAATATAAACAGGAATAAATATTAAGTGATATATTAAATATTAATATATATTTTGGTAGCCTCCACTGTCAGTAAGAAGGAGACCACAGTAAGATGTTACCAAACCTTAATATCACTCCTTGAAATTAAAACTCTGTAAAATATATCACGGGATGAGCCATTTACAAAAATAATGCAGTATTTGTGACTTTGTAGACTGGAACATAACAAAAGAAAGCCCCAAATAAATAGGCTATAATCTACAGTTTGCTAAGTCTGAAGGGAGGATGAGCTAAATGTGGACTAAAAAAGTTCATGAAGAGGAAAGTTTAGTTATAAGAAATGATGATTCAGTAAGGACTTTCAAAAGATCCTAGTTGAGAGTCAACCATGAAGGTAAGAGTATGTGCGTTATCCTGATTACTACAGGCAGCCTCTCTCTAGAGCCCCAATGGACTAGTCCTCTTCCCTCTGAGATATGCCTACCACCAACTTTCTACTGACTTTCTAATCTGGCTTCCCAGGTTCCTTGATACTTGGCAGAGGCACCCAGGAAAGTGTACAGGAATTCCAATCTCAGAAAGGCAGCTCTCCTGCACGGTTCTATCACAGCACACTGTAGTTAGGTGTCTGTTTCTCTGCATTCCCCAGTGGACTATAGGCTATGTGATAGCAGAGACTGTGTCTAAAGCTCAGTTGGGTAAATATCACTGACTGTATGAATGAACAGCTTCTCTTCTGATCGCATGAGTCTGATTAGCTCCAGAACTCTCAAAGCCTAGAGAACGCTGAGCCCTGGCATGAAGGAGGAGCTCCCCGGATTGCAGGGCTGAAGCTCAGACTTAACAGCACACAGAGGGGATGATGCCACCTCATGAAACTCTACCTGCAAAACCCGCCAGTCCACTTTCCTTCTAGCCGTTCGTTCTCCAAATTCATCCTCCTCTTACTTCTATTCACAGGGCTCACTTTAGAGATGTTTTGTGCTTTGAAGTTCAAAAGTTCAATTTCTCCAACCAGCTCAACCTGCTCCTCACCAACCCTTCACTGGGGATCAGACCTACTATCTACCCAGCTTCCTAGGTGGAAAACAGCCAGAAGTCTCATCTGCCCCCTTCTACTGAGCCCCAAATCTGGACAGCACTGAGTCGTATAAATTCAACTTACTAAATACTTTTCAAATCTATGCAGTCCTCTTAAGAGCACTGCTACACTTTTGATTTAAACCTTCATTTTTTGCCTAAACCAGTGATGGTGAACCTTTCTGAGCTTTCAACGATACAAACAGCCTGCTGCAGCACACGTGCCACAGGTTCGCCACCGCTGGCCTAAAGTATCGTAACAGGATCAGAACTAATTTAATTCCTCATCCAGAATGACCTTTCCAAATGCAAATGTGAACACGTCATCACTCAAGAACAGAACAGACTCTGAACTCTCAGCCTGGAGCTTGTTTTGATCCAGCTCTCACTACCCATGCAGCTATCACCTCCAGACTGATCCTTCCTCCCACATCCTGTATTCTAACTTCACCTAATTATCATCACATCCCAATCACCCATGCTTTTGACTCTCTTTGCCTTTGCAAATACAGTTTCCTCTGAATGGAATGCACTGCACTCTCTGAAAACCACTATAAATCACCTTCAATAATACACCGTACTGTATCCGAGTCTGCTGAACTACAGGGTCGAATAGCAGTGATGGTTATCCTTATTTACCTTTCTGCTAACACCAGCACATCGCCTCCCTGCTGACAAGCTTGGTAATTTGCCACCTTGCCCTCCTTCTAATTGTCCTTTATTCACATGATTAATGTTGCCCATCAAATGTAGGTTTTCATAGTTCAGCAAACATCCCAAATAAAGTACAAAAATAATAGTCATAATCTTAATGTTGTTTTCAATTATCTAAATTTTATACAATAGGCAAGCACTATTTTTATAATGCAAGAGAAAAGCCTAATGTCATCTTTAAAATAATATGTATCAAAAGGAATAACAGAAAAGTCAAGACATAATCTTTTCAATACCACAAATATCCAAATAAACTGATCTCACCTGAAGATTGGGATGTTGAGATTATTGCCCGAAGCGATGTACGGTGCTTTGATGTTATGGCAGAAGAGAATGAAAGTGACCACCAGGTAGTCAATGTGAGATCTGTGGACTGGCAGAAATATAAGTGGCAAATTTGTCTAGTAGAGAGAAAAATACCAAACGTGAGTTTCAGATATAAAGTAGTCACGTTTTGCAATTCCACTTGGTTAGAGTGACTCAAATGCCAGCAAATCAGTGACTCACTCTTTTAAAACATTTTCCAACAATATGTTTAACATCGTCTTTCAATTTAATACTTACATAGCTAAACACAAGAACAGCTCTAACAACAGAAATGACTTAAGGAAGAATAATCAAGAGTTCAAGGTAACTCCGTATTTCTTCTGAGAGGCAGCCCTAATTATGTAAAAAGAGGATGGGTTCTTGGAGTCAGATTTGGTTTGAAATCCTGGACAAATCACTATCTGTGACTTGGGATAATTTCTTAATTGGCATAATTGGGATAATTTCTTAATTTATGTGGGCCTCATTTCCTTAAGTAGGAACTGTCCACCTGATTTTTAGGGTCGTTGGGAGGTATATTACAAAGGACTCCTACAGATTGCTGATAGGTCCTCCTTCACCCCCTCCCCTTCCCCAAATACAGACACTGCATTTATCACCAAAGGGCAACAGCTTCCAAATATGTTGAAATACACCAGAGTACACAAGACATCATTTCTCAAACTCCAACATCATTCTCCAAACGGGCAAAATGGAGGGACAGAGTCCCAGAAAGTCTTGCCTCAGTTGCAGCTTTAACCATCTCCAGTTGGCCCTTGTGAATCTGAATGTTCCAGAAGAAGCTGTTGAACAGTTTCAGCAGTATCCACCCAGTCAGTCTGAAAGAAAAGACCAAAATGTGAAGCTATATACACGTTTGTATATGTGAATATGTGTATAGGGGACTTTTGTCTACTGAAGCTTCTGAACCTACAACCGAAGAGTACTTCTAAATCCTTGGCAGATGTGCATGCAAGCCTGTGCATCTAACTTGCAGAATTAGTGAGCTAACTTTAAATGCATACTGCTTATATAAGTACCTATTTATTATGGACTAAAGTCACATTTCACGCTAATAACGCTCTGTACTTCAAAGGCAAACATTCAAGCTAATATTTACTGAGCAGATGATCTCTGTACCCACACCACCCATTCCCTTTAAGACATGAATGTGTGAGGCCTGACTCACTCATCAGAACAGCAGATGTCAGCAATAATAAATGGCTGCTGGCAATTAGCTGAGTCTAAGGCATCTTGAAGTACCAGTGTTCAACCCTGTTTGCCCAAACACAATGGCTCCTGTGGAAAGCACTTTTAATACCTGATCATCCCCGGTGAGACAGTGGCAACCATTTCTTGAAGGATCTTTTTGGCTTTCTTTTTCACTTTCTGGACAGCTTTGGACTGCTGCTGGGCAGAGCCATCTGGGTTCAGTTCAGCAGCCACTTCAGCAATTGCCTCTTGGACTCTGATTTGAAAATGGAAAGACAATGTAACTGGTTATATGTTACCTTGTGTTTTCAATGTTTTCTAAACTGCAGTTATCAATCACAAGACAAAATCTGCCTTCTTTTCAATAAACATAACATAAGAGGCTAAGCTCTTTACAAACTGTGGGGTATTGGGGGTGCACACCCATATCCCAGCACTGGGGAGGCTGAGGCAGGAGGATTGCCGTGAGTTTGAATTTAATTCTAGCTGGGTGTGGTGGTGCATGCCTATAATCCCAGCACTGGGGCAGAAGGATCATCACAAGTTCAAGGACAGCCTGGGCTATATAGTGAGACCCTGTCTCAAAAAACAAAATAAAACAAAACAAAATTTAATTCTAACTCAATGAGTGACAACTATATGAATCTGAAAGTTCCAGTTATGTTGTTAAGATATAAGTTGCACTCTGGCAAAAAAAACCAAAACAGAAAGGTTACCCCTTGGGGCAAATAATTCAAAGTTATAAAAAAATCCACTCCCAAAGTATCCTCTGCTTTTCCTTTTGAAATTATAATTTACTACTGATTTATATTGTCATCTCATTAGTAGAACTATGTGTAAAACTCTCTGGGAAGTATCAAAGAGGGACATAAACATTTATAAATGTTTTCCAATCAAACCAGAATTTTAAAAAGGTATGGATGAAAAACAAAACACCACTAAGCAATAAGAAGTGAGGTAAAAGGAAAAGTTTACACTTGACACAGGTGAGAGAAAAGGAGGTTAAACTGCCTTAAACCATGTTAACATTCCAGTGACTGGTCAAAACACACGGATGGAATGAAACTAGAAAACAGACCATTAATAATCCGAGAGAATTTTAAATAATTGTGTTTTCTCCCACCATTGCTACTGATTTTTTTCATAAATTTTATTTTATCCCTTGCTACTGATTTTAGATTAATGAAGTAGAGTGAAACTCCACATGCTCCCACAATCCATTAACTTTAAAAGACCAATTCCAAAGACAGATGCACCCGGTCTATCTGTTGAATAGCACGTATTGTATTTGCCCAGGAATATTTTACAAGTATTTAGCATGACTGTTATACTTCCATCATCAACTATTCGCTCATTCATTCGATAAATATGTGCTAGCACTGTTGAAGTCTTAGCAGTAGCCCCGCAAGATCTTTAAATGGCCCTTGGGAAGTCAAAGCAGTTTTTCAATCCACCCTGTCTCTTGTTTCCAAATCCAGCTAGATCCCTACAATGGACCACACCAATGAGGCCAAACAGAACAACCTTCACCCAAACTTCTATGTTTATTTATTTCCCCCTTGGGGCTGACCACTTGAAATTAGACATAATTGGAAGGCCCTGGAGGCTGACTCAGAATCAAAGCCTTTCTAGCTTTCTACTGTTTCTCTCCTCCCAAAACCACAGCAAGGGTCTCCAGTGCCCTTACCTGGCTAAGGAAACCTCTTCCAAAAGAAATGCAATGACCTTAAACCCTTAAACTCCCTCTCTAATATCTCACTCAGAACTCAGGAAAGGTTGACCACCAGAGAAGCGAGGCGACCACACTCAGACAGACTTGGCACCCACTCTTCTGAGGGCGGCTGCCACAGACTACTTGAACCCCTCTATCTGTGCAGGACACTGCTCCAGAAGTGTTCTGGCCCTCACCCAACCCCTCCACGGCCCAGAGGAATTTTGCTCCGACCTGCCTGTTCTCCCGCCTCATTCATAATCCCCAAAATATAACTCATTGCACCTAAAACTGCTCCACCCCCCACCTCTCTCCCCTAGGAAGAAGGACGCGTACGTTTCTGAATCTCACTGGGTTAGGGGGTGATCACTCTACTGTGACACCAGTGCATGGTGATAAATTCAAATGCCTTTTTCTTCTGCTAACCTGTTGTTCATTTCAGGGAACCTTCGGAAGGAAAGGATTATGTCCTCCTGCCCCTCCAACATCACTCCACTGGGGTCCAAGCAGCCCTTTATTTGCAGTCAAGCCCCTCTAAGAGCAAACAGTTTCTTACTCCCTTAATATCTGTGATGACTTCCTACTACAGGAATTTGCCCTACATACTCAGGCACTGACAAAAATATCAAACTCACTTCTCTTTTGCCTGTAAAATAGGATATACGGATATGCTGTGTCTCCAGCATTCATATGACAGAGGACTTCAAGAACCCTGGAACGATGTGCCTATCTCACCCGACTCAACTGCCCTCTCATGTTCTAGCAGCCTATGCAGTTATTAATCCACAAATCAGAACCAGTCTTCCTTCATGGCACCATTCCCTAAAAGCATCACTCCCCCACTTTTCCTCAGTTACCTTCAGAGCTTAACATTTAATCTCCAAAAATGCAAACACCGCTCAAAGTGGAGTCCCAGATAAACCAAGGGCTAATGAAAAGGCTCACTTCCTCACTCCCACCACTCAGCCCCTTCTCGTGCCACCTGGACAACACTGCCCTCACTCTCACCTGCTGCTGTTCAGCACGTTCTCTGTCACATTGGTGGCAAACATGCCCTTATGGACATCCCGCTCTTGAATAAAAAGGACATAAGAAAGACGTCTTGCAAGCCATCCTCGGTGCCTGCAATGCAAAAACAATTTACCAGCAAAGTACTGAAGTAGCACCTACAACAAGGTGCTTAAACAAGGCAGGAGCTCCTCCCATAAAAATAAAGCCAATTCCCAATATTTAGGGTTCTCCTGTAGTGATTTTCCTTACTAGTTCAGGATACTGAGAAGCCAATTTTACTCATAATTTTTTTCATTTGTTCTCAGGTAAAACTGGAACTCAAAATTTGTGTATTAATATTCAAATAGTCTTATTTTGCTGAATAATATTAATATAAAAACAAAAATAAATTTGAATTTATTAATACCACAAAAAAGGTAAATATTTTCAATGCTATATATGTATAGATATAGACAGATAAGCAATATAACTTATAGCTAGATCTATGGGTGATCAAAAATAGAAACTTGAAAGGCTTTTCCTACAATGAAGGGTTATTTTTATTTATTATTATAGAACTTTCTCTAAGATAATCACTGACTACTTCCCAAACAGAGCAAAAGAATTTGACATACAGATAAGTGAGGCATACAGGACTCCAACTACCCATGATTAAAAAAAATCTAGACATATAATAATCAAGATCCCGGAAACCCAACAGAAGAGCAAAGTTTTACAAGCAGTTAGAGAAAAGAAACAAATCACATGCAAAGGAAAGCCCATTAGAATCACACCAGACTTCTCAACGAAAACCTTCAAGGCAAGGAGAGCCTGGAGTGAAGAATTCAAGCCCTAAAAGAAAACAACCTCCAACCTAGACTGATGTATCCTGCAAAACTATCTTTCAAAACTGATGGGGAAATAAGATACTTCCATGACAAAGAACACCTGAGAAACTTCATGAACAATTCTAAACAATATCCTAGAAAAAGACAACGAAGGTCAAAACTCCATGAGGCCCAACAGAGCAAATTCATCAGACAAGGCAAGAAATTAAAGGGAGAGGGAGAAAAATAAGATAATCACTGACTCTCAAACTAAGAGCTGATCAGACAAAAGAAGCTAAGCAGAACCAGTCTCTGATCTGAGTATCTGAACTCTGGGTCAGCAGCCCTTTTTCTCTTTTAAACACACTTGCAACATACCTAAGGGTTGGAACACGGTCTTGTCAGGAATAGTAACTACACATTCTTTAGTTGGGGGGATGAGGATGTGGATTTCAGAATAAGAATGCTACAAGTCCTCATTGTGTGATGGTTTAAAATCACTTGTAATGATTACATAATGTCGCATTATCATTTCCCTCCACAGTAATATAAATAGTAGGCAATTTCAACTATGAATTCACTAAAGAACCAAAAATAACTTGATAGAGAACTGTTTATGGATCGTGGTTCCTTCATCTCTTTCTTAACACTTTTTTCTTTCACCTGTCCTGTCTCAACACCCTAAAATTTTAGCCCAAGCTGGGCATGGCAGGCCATGGCAGGGCACAGCTGTAATCCCAGCACTTGGGAGGCTGAGGCAGGAGGATCACTATGTGTTGGAGGCCAGCTTAGGCTACAGAGTGAGTTCAAGGCCAGCCTGAACTACATAGCAATAACAAACAAACAGACAAAAAATTTTAAATGAAAAATATAATAAAAATTTAGCCCAGTATGTCAAGTGTTCATTCTAAACTCTTCCGTCAGGGAACATTTTCAGTTGTTACTAGAACATACAAAATCCAACCTGTCTACAGAATCTCTTGGCAGCTGACTAAAAAGTGCGTGTGAGTACATGAGTGAGGGTGTAAGAGTGTGTAAAAGCATGTGTGAGTCTACACCACTGAATGAGAGTACAAGAGAAAGTGTGCATGTGTGAGTGTGTAAAAATATTTAGGTTTTGCTTCATATAATGCATTACAGAAATAGCTATATAGGTAGCTTACTTTGTCGAACACTTCCTCATTACCAAGTCAGTTTGGCCAATGCTATTTTTGTAACTGTTTCCAACTGTGGCAACAGGCAAACCTTTGGTTTTATATACAAAAGGTCTATTTACCTAAAGAAGGAGATACTCTATCTTTTGTGTGAGGCTCTTAATCATATCAACTAGGAAAAAGGAAAAATACTTCAATGCAGGTGAGTCTCTCCTAAGTTTAAAGAGCTGAGAGAGTGAAGAGTAGTCTGGGAGTGAGGAAAAAATACGCATGTCCCTTGATTTCAACTTTTGTTCTATTAAAACAACACCTTTAATATATATATAAATATTCTCATTCTCACATGTGATCTCAGCTAATTTTTAATAGTAATTCTGAAGGTCTCAAATCTAAGAATATGATTTTTTGAACCAACTTTTCATAGAATTTCAAGCATGTCCAATCACTTGCCCCTATTTCTTATCCATCTCAGGAATCTACTCTCAGAACCACAGAGACCAGTAGTATTTTTGGCTACTGTTGCTCTTGTCTCCCAGACATTCGCAGAACCTTCCAATTCTCCTTCCTTATCCTGTAACCTGGATTCATGTAAAATAAACGCCCTTTTCTCTGTCTCTGGCACCTACTAACTCATCCCCAAGCACCTGGAATTCGCAAGGAAGAAGAAAAGTCTTAGGTAAATAACAAATCAGAGAATGTTTGCTAAATAGATGAAACTATTTCCTGATACCCTGTAGATTAGGCAGATTTTAAACCTTTATACTTTTTAAAAAATAGTCACAATAGATCATAAGATATTCAAACCTATACCTCTCTTCCAAGAAATATTTCCCACATTTTAGCACACATCATACACAAAACTCAGTATACGAATCCATTAAATAACACTGTAAGTGACATCTACACACCCACGGATGTTTGTAGGAAGAGCAGTCATTAGCAGTGGCGGGTCTCTCTGTTGGCTGGTCTGCTTCTAGTTTTTGAATAAAGCCTCTGTGTCAAAAGCTCATACCCTTGTCACGCTCAAAAATAGAGATTCACCTTAAAGTATGCTTATTAATATTGTGGACTTTGACTTTTGAGATTCATTAGAAGTATCAAAATTTCTTTTTACCTTGTGTGAGTTTCATTGATATAAATAACATTCCGCAAACCCAAAGATGGGATACTGGGGTTGAAAAATTTTTCCTAAATAAAACAAAATAAATGTAGACATAAATACACAACTGAATGGGTGAAAGGCTCACATTAATAGTTCTTGACAAGTTTTTCAATTCAAACATAAGATTAGGCATTGCTTCAAAAATCTAACTGATAAAGAAAAGAATTTTTTTGTGAAAAGTACTCTTTAGCCTACAAAGGTCCCAAACTCAAAATAAATTTTTAAAACCTTAAAACTAAAGGAAATAGTGCCTCTTTTCCTGCCCTATTCCTCACCTTCATTCCAAAAGACTAAGTCATTCAAGGAAAATCAAAATATAAAACACTCTGGAAATTATCACACAGTTATTGTTAAATTACTAAATCTCCCAACATACAGGACACATAAGAATATTAGCCCCATTGTATAGGTGAGGAAATTGAGGCTGGTAGGAGTTTAGTATTCAATCTCTTATCTTGCTCCAAAGAGTATGATCTTTTTACTCCCATAAACTCACTGTCTACTTAATGAGAAAATGTACATCTATAGGTCACTGTCTTTACAAGTGATCTTAAAAGATAATCCAGAGATATTCTCTGTTGAAAAGAGAGTCTTTACTAATGTGGACAAAGAGAAAAATGTTCCTCAAATAGATGCTTTTAAAAAAAAGCATAACATATCCTCAACAAAAGAAGTAAAAAAGGTGACATCTCTTTAGAGAAAAAGAAAACAGGATTTCAAAGCAAAGACAGCAAATATCAAAGAGTTACTAAAAAATATTTTTAAACAAGTTATTAACCAATTATTTGTTACAGTATTCTCTATTCATACACCAAACTATAACTACGACCAAATGATTTCTGATACTCCCTCCTGATTTAAGAATACACTGCAACATTATAGACAAGGTAATGTATTGGTCTAATATTGTAGCTAAGGTATTGTTTTGAATAAACATTCAAAATTAGAATTGAATGAGATGCCAAATCTAAAAAGAAAAGCCATATGACCTTCTATTCAAATCTTTATTTCCACTGTTCTATCAATCCGACTTGACCTTACTCCTAGACTAGAAATTTCCAGGATCTTTTGATTCTACCAGTTCTTGCAACAAGACACTTACGACTTAAAAGATGCAATACTGAGCAGACCTGAACATTTAAGGTGAACTGTTTGACTCTATACAAATCTCCCAGTGTTAGTAAATCTCTTAATACCACACTCAGAATTCTGCTTCCCGCCAAGTCAACCCAGGGTAGAAAATCCACACGGTACAGTTGCTATTAACACAGATTATAAGCAACCTCTAGAATAGTAGGCATTTAAATGGCAGAATGTCTCCATCCTAATAACTGAATCATTCCAGGGGAAACTTCACATTCCAATATATGTTTTGTTTTGTTCCTTGGCAGTACTGGTGATTGAATACAGGGCCTTCACGATGAACTACATCCCCAGTCCATTTTGTTTTTTATTTTGATACAGAGTCTTGCTAAATCACTAAACTGCTCACCTTGGACTCAAACTTATGATCCTCCTGCCTCAGTCCCCAAGAGTGCTGGGATTATAGGTGTGTGCCACCATGCCCAGCCAGATACACCTTTTAAATGGTAACTCCACTGCCTTAGAACACAGCTATGGCTATGTTGTGTTCGACACCTGATACGGAGTTCATCAACAGAAGCAAAATTTTGCCCAACACTTTTGTTTGCAAACTGAATCATTCTTGAAAAGAAGCGTTCCTGAACTGAGGTATTACTGTATATTCTTTTTTAAATCTTCATCCTAACATTTTAGTGACCGTATTTCACTATCATAAAATCTACAGGCACTCTCCAGGAAAGCAGCCCAAGCCAAGAGCAAAGCCACATCTGTAACCTTTTATTCTGTTCCATTATTTCTCTCATTTTACTAGGATTTGATGTTAAGTGCTTGAAGTTCAGCACCTAGAAAGTACACCAAGTTTCCTACCAATTCTCTGCAAGAGTTCACTCAAGGTAAGTTCTATTCTTCCCTTAAAATCATACTAACACTTCAAAAGAAACAATATTTCCAGGATTGATTATGGGACCAATATTTATTGTACAAATGAATGGGAAAAAAAGTCAACTTCTCTAGTTGAGATATTTGGTTTAGAAACAAGAGTCTCAGTTCTAAAACTGAAGTAAGTTTATTAAGACCAAACAATAAAAATTCACACACAGGTGGAAACCTATGTCACATATCTCCCTTTGTCACAGAAGGCAGCAGGCAGGCATATCCTTACCCAGCTCTGGGGAGTGCACGAGTAGCAACATCTTCCAACAAACGGCCTCTTCCGGCTCATCAGGCTTTCTTTCCATTTGAGAGTTGCAGACCTGAAGAAGGTAGGTCTGAAGCCCCACTCAGCCTGATAAATGTGGAGGAAAAAACAGTGTCTAAGAGGCAAGAGAATTATACTGTCCACCTGATCTCTAAAACTGATATTTTACATACAAGAGAAAATTATGGCATGTTTTGCTTTGGGGAATATAATCACATGTGTTACACTGTGACTTTCACTTAAGGTATTCCCTTCCACGATCAACACTTAGAAAACAGCTTAGTACATAATCAAAAGCTGGGCCAAGGATGTAGCTCAGTGGTGCCATGCCTGCCTGGCAAGCACAAGGTCCTGAGTTTGATCCCCAGTACTATAAAAAAAACAAAACTACATAGTCAAAAGTTGATTACCTAAGAATAGTAATAATCAGCAATGCTCACTACACACTTGACGCAGCATTCAAAGGTTTGAAAACTAAGCTGTGGCATCCAGTGATGGATGAATAGATAAAGATATGCTATGTATACATAATGGAATATTAGTTGGCCCTTAAAAAGAATGAAATCCTTACAGTTACATGGATAAGCCAAGGCATTATGACAAGTGCAATAAGCTAGGCACAAAAATGGAAGCTTTCACAAGAGGAAGCTAAAAAAGCTATTGTGAAGCCAGGCACGGTAGCTCATGTCTGTAATCCTAATATTCTAGAAGGATGTTAAGTGAATCACAAGTTCAGGCCAGCCTGGGCAACTCAGCAACTTAGTGAGATCCTGCCTCAAAGTTTTAAAAGAATTGAGAATATAGTTCAGTACAAAGGCCCTGGCTTCAATCCCTAGGATCAGAAAAAAAAACTGATCTCACTCACAGAAGTAGAGAGTAGAATAGTTCCTCTGGTAGTGAAGATTGTGGGGTCAGTAAAGAAAGGCTGCTTAATAGATACAAAATGACAATGCAACAGGAGGATAAAGTTCTAGCCTTCTGCGGCACAGGGGGGTGACCACAGTTAACAGTTACTGTCCATTCCAAATAACTAGAAAGGGGGATTTCTAACAAGTCCAACAAAAATGATAAATGTCTGAGTCAATGGATATGCTAATTACCCTGAATCGATCACTGCACCTTGTACACGTGTGTTGAAAGAACCACTGTATCTCATGAATATGTATAACTACCATGCCAATTAAAAACTAAAAATAAATACATACAACAGACATTCCTAAAAAAATAAAATTTTCAGTTTAAAAATAAAGAAACAAAGTTGTAGAAAGCAAAGTGGACTTCTGACCGAGTGGGATTAGCAAAGCAGACCCCATGTTAACAGCTAACTTTAAGCCCTATTAAATCTCACACTCCCACAGCGAAATTCTAAAGACCTTCCAAGTGAGCAAGGTGTTCTACCACAGCTTAAATAAAATGGTGGACATAATAATATTCCTTTATCTTATCAAGAGAGTTTAAAGGCTAGAATTTATATAGCTACACTGCTCAATTAGGCTCAAACCCTCTTGTTCTAATAATTTTCTTCTAACTTTGAGCTCACTGATTTCTCAAATCTCATTGATATAACATTCTTTTCAAAATGTTTATATAAAGCAGATAGTGTTTGAAATAATATTTAAAACATGCCAAATCCTGTTGAAATAGGTAGAGCAATACAAAAAATGCATTTTAGATTGGACACATACTAAAATTTCCAATTTTTCAATATTTTAAAAATAGTCATTATAAAATTCATGCTTACTAAATGTAACATGGAAAGCAGATGCCAAGAGAAAGAAAAGAAAAACTCTTTATAATTACACTACCCAAAACAAGTACCAAGGTGTTTTTCCCTAGGCAAAGGTGTATTGCTTTTTAACTTAATCACTTTACTTAAATTTTCTACCCAACTTTTTCTTCCCTGTTAACATAATACTACAAAAAATATTAAATACTATTAGACTTCATAAACATAACTTCTAACAGTTGAAGGCAGCTTCCATAGCTGTTAACCTCTATTTGATGTTAACTGTATATTGCTACCAACAGTTCTACCTTCATAAACAATACCAAAATGAACAATTTTAGGGTGAATGCTTTTTTCTTTTAAACTTACCCATTCCTCACTTGTGTGTTTACATCGACCAAGATTGTATTCTGATGAATGTGGCAGATACGAAACATCTATGGTGCTAAGCGCCAATGCAGATTCATCCATGTCACAAAATATAACTCCCAAATCATGTGCTACAAAAAAATTCCATTTAAGTTAATGAGGGCTCCAGAGAGTAAATGCCAGAACTCAAAATTCTGATTTCTACATTATTTTGTTCCATAATAGAATATCAAATGATTTGGTAGACTTCTATTAAAAATAGCCCTTGATGTGTTCATGTGAGCTCAGGCTGCCCTGATTAGACTTCTTGAACAAAAAACAGCTCTGAGCAGTTCTTTCCAAGTATAAATAAGAGCTTATTTCAGGGACGGGGATGTAGCTCAATGCCCATGCACAAGGATCTGAGTTAGATCCCCCATACCAATTTAAAAAAAAAAAAAAGAGCTTATTTCAGGTATTAGACAAAGAATTTTTTCATTTTGGTTAAAAAAAGGAATAGTTTCTGGGAAAATGAAGGCATGAGTTTACTTAATTAAACACATGTAACATGTATGCTCACAATTTTTTTAAAATTATGAACTGCGAATTTCCACTCATACATATTTATTAATGTAAAATAGATAAAGCAATGATGGTACCTCAAGTTTTCTACTTAAACTGAACTCAGTTTCTTAATAGTCTTGCGATGCTCTAAAAGAAATATTTGTACTTTTAACACAGTTACAAAACTCTAAAAGAAAAACATTATTTGGGAACGTCTGATTTGTAAGTTTCACTCCCGGGCCGGGGATGTAGCTCAGTGGTTTCGCCGCCTGCTGCGCAAGCGCAAGGTCCCCAGTTTGAGCCCCAGTAACAAAAACAAAACAAAAAAGAAGGTATACCTATAAGTTTCATCCTTTTCATAAGCTTTCTCCTACCCTACAGGAAAATGTTCATGGAGAAGGAACCCTTAAAATAGATATATTGATGTAAGATATAAAAGCTTTCTAACATAATCACTAGTTTCTCATTATTTTAGCTTTTTGCTACCTCTAGCCTGGCCTTAAAATAGTGGAAGATCATTTCCAAGTAACAATGTTCCTTGGAAAATATATTCCGACTTCCTTACATTTCCCTTATGGAAATCTTACAGTAACTGTTATCCTCAAAATAATGACATTTGTCGGCCAGGGATTTAGCTCAGTGGAACCACACCTGCCTCGCAAGCGCAAGGTCCTGAGTTCGATCTCCCATATCAAAAAATAAATAGATAAATAATAACATTTATTAACAATTTATATAAGTAACAATCATACCCGTTAGGTCAGGGGAAGAGAACAGTAAAGCAATTCACCTGGGATAAAAGTTCTGTATTACAAAATAAAAATTCAGCCTTCAGCTATCAGCTTCCAGAGCAGAACGTCCACACAACAGGAGGCGCACGCTGCTGTCTGAGAAAAAGAAGTGGTAAGATTAGGGGAGGAATAAAGTGATGTGCCAATGGGAAGCCCACGCTTTGCTCCTCCTCTGTCTCAAGGTCGATTAAAAAAAAAAAAATCCCAGAGGCGCCACTCAGCTGTGCTGTGAACAGACCGTAGGAGCTGAAATGGACAGCAGCACAGGGTCCAGCTCTGTGGTTTAAACCCCTCAATGCATACCATCTGTGTGAATCTGAACACGCTGGTCAACTTCAAAGCCCTGCTTTCCCCTTCTGGAAAATGGTTATAGTACCATAGACCTTATTTGAGTTGCCTGAAGGACTGAACGATACACGCAGAGCTGCCAGCACAGTGACACGCACTGAACATTCAGTCCGATCAGTGGTGGCTGCCGTCATCAGATCAGGCCCAGCTCCAGCTGCTCAGAGCACCCCTGCTGCCTCAGTACCCCCACGGGATGGGGCAGACTGCCAGCACCCCCTTCCAGAAGGCCTTTGGGGACTGGGTCCATAAACACTCTCTTCTCCCCTGTGCCTCAGCCTGGTCTCCCGGGGTCTCCCTGGTCTCCTGGGACCCCTAGCCCAGCACGAGCCTGGCCCATTTCCCCAGAGGAACCGCGGAGCACAGGAAACAGCGACTCCGACCGCCCCCCTGGAAACTTGGAGGAGCTGCACCAGGGTCACGGAGCAGAGCGACGGAGAAGAGCGACCACGCACCTGTCCGCCGCTCCCGGCCCAAGCAGCGCCCCCGCAGCCTGCACCCACCAGCCTGCACCACTCCTCCAGCGCGCCAGCCGCTGCAGCTGCCCGCGCTTCGAGTCCGGGCCGGCGCCGGCTGCAGCGTCACGCCCTGATGACGCGTGCGCGGGCGCGCGGGAGTGAGAGGCGGGGGCGGGGCGGGGCCAGCTGGCCTCGTGGCTCTGTTCGCAGGAATGGGTCCACGTACGATCTGTGTGAGCGCATGGGTCGGGTATGCGTGCGTGCGCGTCTGAATTTCACTGCGTGAACTCAGCTGATGTGTGAGCCTGTGTCACCTCCAGGCTGGGCTGGGTGTCAGTGTGTAGATATGTGAGCTGACCTTTTATGAGATTTGTAACACTGAAGAATTTATTACGGATAGGGGAGGCATTGGCTCCAAAAGGCTGCACTGTAGAATTTCTGTAAGAATAGCTGGGCCCCCGAGGAGGAAAATGAGGAATGAAAAAAAAAAGATACAACACCTTCATAAGACAGGAATTTTTCTTTCCTTTGAGCTATATTGCACAGCATGGTGAATACTGTTGATAACAGGGATTTTGATGTGTACATTTCAAATGTTCTCATCAAAAAATGGTATTTGAGGTGACAGTATGTTAATTAGCTTGACTTAATTACTTGTATTTGTAAATCGTAATATAGACAATTAAGGTAAAAATATTATAGGCAGTCAGGGCAAGGCCCTCAAGAAAGTCAGTACAGCAGATGAAAACACAGTGCACCTATGGCTAGAGGATCATCTGCCGAAGGCCAGGCCTCAAGATAAAGACAAGTGACCAGGCACATGCCTCCACAAGGGATAAGCAATAAATTAAAGACTGTACTAGCTGCCTCTCCGTTGGATCAATATTACTTAAGTGGCTATACTTGTCATCTTATTGGTTGATCATAGTTTTGACCCACATTGTACCTACCTTGTGATTTTGCCCTGAAAAACTTCCTTTGAGAAGTGGGCTCATTGGCAACTCACTTTCAGGTCCCCTCCTGTCTCTCAGGAGCTATCTCTTTCAATAAATTTTTCCTACTTTTAATCTCCGTTATTCCTCAGAATTCATTCTTCAATTTGGGGGAACACAAACTTGGCTTATCTGACATCTAGCAGATTGGAAGTTACATTATTTCCCCTATATCATTAACATCATTTCGTACTTAATAAATATAACTGATTAGTCAACTTACAGTTAAAAATAATTTTTAAAAAGACTTGAAGTCTGAGTGGAATTTGCCACACTTTAGCCATTAAAACAAAGCAGCACTGGGGCGGGGGATTTAGCTCAGTGGTTTCGCCACCTGCTGCGCAAGCACAAGGACCCAAGTTCGATCCCCAATACAAAAAAAAAAAGCACTGGACAGGAATAGGCTCTTTGACAATAGTTGTCACACTATTGACAAAGCCAATGGTTATCAAGAGCATTAGCAATCTAGAAGGAAAAAGATAACCTCTTGCATGCACTCAGCAAACAAGTCTGAACTAGGACCTGGCAATACAAAGATAAGACTGGCCTCTAACATGTGCCACCACTGCTTGTCCCTCTTGCACACACTAGCCATAATTTCTGCTCAAAATAAATCATTGTGCATGTCTGTCTGGATTAAAAACCATCATCCACAACTCCCTAGTCCAAACGCCTGAGCTTGACACTAAGGCTGCTACGCAGAGGCCTCTCCTTTTTCCACCCTTCTCCGGCAGGAATCCCTTCCTCTCTGATTGTCCCTAGGCAAGTCGAGGGCATTCATACTCCTAATTCTGCTCATGCTATTCTCCCTAAAGTTCTATACTTCCTGAACTAGTCCTGTAGGCTTTGCTTATCTCTCCAACCCTCAACAGTCATACCTCTGGAGAAATCTCACAGATTTGCTATGGCACCAGGCCTTGGGTCTTTATGGGTTTGTGTCACATTTCCATAAGATTACAAACTTATCACAGCAGTAACTTGCCTCAGTCTCCTTATTAATACCTCAACACCTTGTTATACTGAAGTTTCAATAAATACTTGTTGAAGCTGAGGAACAAGAAAAACAAGATTTCCTTCTCTTCAACTTTCTACTTCTGTATATAAATAAATCCCCAAATGCAAATATTTTCTTTTGAAACAACTCAAAACAGTAGGAGTGAATACTCACATTTTTAAAAAGATCTCAATCTTCTTGAGGTCAAAGAGCCCTGTGTCTTTATTCAACCGCACATATACCTTAACAGCATGCTCACATCTAAGTACTTGAGGATTGCATATTGACTAGATGAATTCTAATCCCAAAGGGTCATCAAATTTTGTAAACAGACTATTGGTCCATGACAGAGAAAAAGGGGGGAAGGGCAGAGACAGAAAAGCCTTAGGGTTTGAATCACTAGTAAAGAAAATAAAAGGAAATGAAGTAAAGAGAGCACCACAGGAATTTGTAAATGTAAGCCAGAGGGGAATACTGCCTTATTGTTGTAGGCAACTCTTCTGTAACACCCAGTTGCACAAGGGTGACTATTTGTTAATGCAGATTCTATGTCAGGGTTTCAGGTTACTTAATGAAAATTGTTTTTGGAAGCAAGTGACACCTTCAGCAACTTACTTTATGAACAGAACAATAATTTATAGTAATCAAGTCTAACCAGACAAGATGGAACAAGACTGAATTTACTGTCCAGTCTGCAACAATCAGAAACAATCAAGCAAATATAAACCAATGGTTTTTACCCACTGGACATAATAGGGGAAGGGAAACAAGTGAGTTGAGCCCTAGACAGCATTGGTTGTCAAGCTGCTGTACAGAGCAGGGGATCTCAGAAGACCTAGGTAGACTCTGAGTTTAGGAACTAGAACTGGGAGACCAGGAAGGGCAAAGCAGCTAGATCTGGAAGCAGAGTAAAAGAAAACTAAGTAGATAAAGCACCACGGAGAGCTGCAGAAGATTCCCCTCTAAGAGTCAGCTGATTAGCATACACTTGTGAGGAAGATACCCAAGCCCAGGGAAAAACAACAGATAAGGAGAGAACACCAAAGCTTGTACAGAGCAGGGATTATTCCTTTACTCCTGAGTCAGAGTGGAAAAATACTGGGTGATTGTACAAACCTAGGAATAGTCCTTGATCCTAGCCCTGACAATAAAAACCTGACATGAAATCAAAAAATATCTAGCACCCAATAAGGTAGAATTCAAAATGGCATTGGACTGAAATTTTCAAGCATGCAAAAAGAAGCAGGAATGAATAGTCCATAGTAAGGAGAGGCAAAATCAAGTGGAAGAGTCTTACAAATGATGGGGATGATCAATTAGTAGTCAAAGAGATTTTAAAAGTAATACAACTATAGCCACTATGTTTAAGTAAAAGAGAAAGGAGATGGACTTGGTAAACAGAGACATGGAAAATCTTTTCTTTAGAATGATCCAAGGCAAACATCTAGAGAGTATAAAATCATTGAGGTTTTTCACAACACACACTCACTTGCATAGTATTAACAGCAAATTAGACATTACTGAAAAAGAAGAGTAAAGAACTTGAAAATATTTTGAAAGAAACCATCCAAAATGAAATACTGAGGGAAGAAAAAGATTGAAAATAGAAATGAAGAAAATATACTTAGTGAACTTAGTATACATGCAATTGGTGACCCAGACAGTAAGAAATAATTGAATAATAGATGAAAATTTCCCACATATGTTGATAACTATAAACACAAATGTAAGAAACTCAACAATGTAAGTAGAAACATGAAGAAAAACTACACCAAGAATATCACCATCAAATTGCCTAAAGCCAGTAATGAGGAGAAAAATCTTAAAAGTAGTCAGACTTAAAAAGACCCAGCTATTCCCCTGCTGGGTATCATCCCAAAAGAATTAAAAGAATCATATCACAGTGATATATGTGCACCCATGTTTATAGTGGCACAGTTTGCAAGAGCTAAAGCTTGGAAACAGCCCAAGTGCCCATCAACTGGAAACTGGATAAAGAAGATGTGGGTTTTTTTATAAAATGGAGTACTACTCAGCTATAAAGAAGGAGAAACTAGAGTCATTTATAGCTAAATGGATACATATTGAGGCCATACTCTGAAGTGAAATAAATAGGACACACATGTGTAAATACTGAATAGTTTCTCTAGTGTGAGAAACTTAAAGTATAAAAAGGTATTAAAATGAATAATTGATAATTTGAAATAGGAAGGAAGGTCCAAAGAAGTAGGGGTGATGGGAGGGGAAGGGGAAAGGAAAGGAGGGAAAGGAAAAATATGATTAAAAAAATGGAAATGAAGTCTTTGT